TATTAAACGGTGCCCTGCTTGTCCTGCTCATTGTTCAGGCTCTAGAACCTGGCACAGCCTTGAATGTAACTGAACATTTGTTGAATGTTTAAATGTATAGAAGCCACAGGGGGCCCTCAAAGTTAGGGAACAACGTTTGACTTTTCTCCAGGACACTGGGTATGATGCTTAAGAAGTAGTTGTGAATGAAATTAAAATCATATTATCAAAATTAGATCTTCATTGGGCTGCCTTAGAGAAAGATTAGAAGGGACTAGATTAGGACAGACTGACTAGAAAGGAAGCCCAATTTCCATTTGCTTACAGACGTTTGCCATACTTTCCAAGGCTGCTTGCCTTTCCAAGAAAACAGTGTATCATTTTACCAAAACCTGTTCAGCTAGTTAAATACAGCCACAGTGGATCATTTGATATGGTTACTTACAGTACTGTATCCAGCCAATAGATATTTCTTTGATAAGCATATCTTTTCTTTGTATTGTTCTGTAGCTTTTTATTTACATTCTAGGCCTAAATCGTGAGATTACATGACTCTAACATATTCTGTGTAAAAACGACTGGGCAGAGTAGTCCAATTGGAAGTTCAATTTCGAAGCCATTGTCCCGAAATACAGTTCTTTGTTTGGCATTGTCATGATTTCCCATGGAAGGACACTTCATTGCACATCCTACGGTAGTGATGGCTAGTTACTACTGGTATTTCCTTTATGGAAAGAGATCTTTGGGATATTGCTATGTGTACCTCCTCATGAACCTTGCTAATCACTGAAACACAGATTTAAAGAAAGATAAAAGATATCCCTTTTGTTCCTGTCCCTGTCTCCACTTTATTTCCCCCCTTTCCCTCTCAGATTTTGACTTTCAGGATTCCCAACTAGTTCTCCTCACCCTTTATTTTAGTGTAGAGCCTGGCAGTCAGCGATAGGGAAAACAAATGAGGTGTAGTGAATTGTTAAAGATACCTGAGTTGGTATGTTCTAGTTATTCACATTTAACTCCATTTGAAAGTCTTATAAATATTACCATTTTATAGTGAGAAGAGCCGCTCACTGTTATTGTTAGTCACTAAAAATTCTCACAGTTATGACCCTCAAAACCCCAGATATTTTATGTGTCCTAGGTCTTCAGTGTTTTAATATTTAAATCCCTATTATTTATCTTCAAAATAATCCTTGACATTCTCTCTAAAAATAGACGAAGATACCTTGTAATTTCAGTTCTCCTTTACCGTTAGCCAGCACCATATGTTTACCAGCTGAATTCAGTAAGTTTAGTTTCCAAATGTGTGAATCCAAAATATTTTGTTCTTCGGAATAAGCCAACGATTTGCGTAATGCCTCTCTGTGTTGTATATTTTAAAGAGAAATATCTTTTGATGTATACAATGTGGGTTTATTGGAGACAGAGCAGTTTCCCTCTAGGCAAGGACCGTAAGATGTTGTTGTACAAAACGCTTCCTCATACTGTTCATGCTAACAAAAGAGAGAGCTAAAGTCCATGCTAACTTAAACAGAAAAGTGTCTAGTACATTTTCCTTCCTTGAGTGGGAATAGGTTTTTAAACTTGGAAATGTACCATTCATTTATAAAATGTCTCATTTCATTTTTGAGGAATTCAAGTTGGAATGCCAGCCGTACAGTAGTATGTAAGAGGAACGTTACTGGCATTAAGGCATGCACTTAAGCAATAGAGGAATTTACTTTTCAGTGTCTTCCAAGGTCCATGAGGATGCACACTTACTTACCCAGAGAGTATGGATCTCACTATGTTTGTCCAGAGGGTGTGACTCTGTGGAGAACACTGACTGGTAAGTATCCGACACTTCTTGTATTATGTTTCAGAAAAATATGTTTAGAAGTCAATTTGGTTTTTTAGCAGTGATAAAATCTCTTAGTCTGTGCTGGTTTCTTAACAGTGGACAGTCCCAGATGTTGAAGTCAGCAGGACAAGAGAAAAACCCAAATCTCGATAAGACTTGAGGATTTTTCGAAAATTAAATGCAAAATAGTTGGGGCAAATGTTGCTGCGGGAGTCAAGACTAAGTAAGACAGTAAGAAGAAATGAAGGCGGAGAGCTTCCTTTGCATAAAGTTTGCATACGTACAAAACCCAAGACTAATGACTCTAAGAGGGGGCGGAATTACATCTCTTGGAACTTAAGATAGGAGACTCGTGAACCGGAATGTGCACTGTGGCCCTCGCAGTATATTTTAATATTTCCTTGCAAAGTACTTTCTGTTTCTAAATAAAAGCTGTGCGTTCTGAAACCTGTAAGTGATATGTATACTGGCCACATCAGATCCTTTAAGAGTGTTTCCCAAATCCAAGACGGTTAGCGTGGAACACGTGTTTGTTTTGGAGACAGTAAAATGAGGGGATACGGGAGGGCTGATTTCAGAGCCCAGTCACTGCTTTTGCTTTACGCCTTATCACTCCTTCTCTTATTCTTTCAGCCAGGCACTCTAAAGATGTAATTGACTATTGGTTGAAAAAAACGTGTAAAATAACATTTGTGTGTGTGGTACAAAAGTTTGAATGTGCCATAGGTTTTCTGGGAATTAACCATACCGTTTAAACGCTTGCCGCAGTAAAGCCGCTTCCAGATTTCCCACACTATCACGGGAAGGTTCGGGATTGATCTGAGCCACACCTCAGTGAATGGGGAATGGAGGCGTAGAATCCATCCGGAAGAATGGATTACTTAGCTTGGCATCAGGCGGGCCAGGAAGGGTTAAGACTTAGAGGTGCCAGTCCCTGGCTTGCTGGCCTTCAGCAGGATGTTTGACGACTCCGAGTCTGTTTCTTTTGCTGTAGAATGACATGTTCCCTCCCAGAACGATGCCTGGCCGTGGTCGCACCATGTGAACCGAGAAGCCTGGGCATTTGGTCTGCATCATGGTTGCTGAGATGCTGGCGGAGAAGATGGCAGGAACGTCTCCTTATTGACATGATAGAGGATTGAGAATGCGTGTCTGGTGATCTGTTTTTGCTTTGCCTCGGGTCTGATCCTGCCAATCCCTTATCTTTAGGACTCACCCCAAAATCCCTTGAAGTCATCTTTTAGGGGCTGTGGAAAATGTATGTGAAAGGAGAGAGTGTCAAGAGCACAAAGTTTAGGTGAAAGGGTGACAGATACTCAGTGATCTGGCAGTTACTTCCCATATCTAACCTGCTGTGTGCCAGGAGGTGGGGTGCAGTGGTGAGCGCAACAGCCAGAAACTCTTGCAGCCCTGCTGCTCGTGTTCGGGTGTGGGAGATGGACCGTAGGCATATGAGCATGTTGGACAGTGGAGATAATATACCTGTGATAGAAAGGAGATGATGAGAGCTTGAGCTGGGAAGTGGCTTTCAGTATAAAATCGGGTCTCCAGGGAGGAGCTCCTTGGAAAGGTGATACTTGAATAGAGACTTGGGAGAGATCAGGGAGCCAGTCATGTAGAAATCTGGAAAAAGCGGGAAGTAGAAACTGATCTGGGAAGTTATTGAAAGGACTGACTTTTGCTTTGAGTGGGATGGAGAGCCATTGGAGAGTGTGAGCTGAAAAGTGACTTGATCGGACTTCTGTTTGATAAGAATCTCTCAGGAGACTGTATAGAGACTAGACAGTAGAGGGGCAATTCTGGCATCAGGGACTAGTTAGCAGGTTCCTGGGGTAATTCAAGCCGAAGGTGATGGTGGCAAGTGGTCAGACTCTGTATCAGCATTGGTCGGCCATCTGTGGTGCGTGAGGAACCTAGAGGGGCTAAAGGCTGGCCCCAGAGCTTTTGGCTGGTGACCAGAAAGGCAGAGTTGTCAGTCACTATTTGTGGAGGTAAAGATGGGAAGAGGAACAGGTTTTGGGGAGAGATCAGTTGAGGTTGTGGACCAGATGAGATTCCTATCAGATAGCCTCACATAGAGGAGACTGGGCATTATTTTAAGGCCCAGTTTGCACAAGTTGGTAAGTTATACAAGCTCTGTTTAAATGATTTAAATTTCTGAGAAGGTGATACTATAATTCATGTTTTATAGATTAGTAAATAATACAGAAAGATTAATTTTCTTAAAGTCACAGATATGAAACTTCGTTGTTCATATTTGTTCCACATTATTCTACAAACTTTACTATGTTAGTTTTAAAGTAGGCATTTAAGGGAAATTCTCATAGTTGACATAACTGATTAAGCAGCAAAGTAATGCTTTTAGCTAACACACACACACGTACACACTCTCTCTCTCCCTCTCCCCCTCTCTCTCTCTCTCTCTCTCTCTCTTTCTCTCTTTCTCTTTCTCTCTCTCCCAGAGAAGTAGAGGCAATATCTCTGATGAGGTTTAAATGAAAGTTTTTTTTTCTTTTTTAACTTTTTGATGTGTTGAAAACTAGTATCTCACGTAGTCTTTAACTTTGAACATACGTTAGAATTTTTTTAAATGAATGGCTGTGGATATAATTAATTTTTAGAAATATTCTTATATTTAAAAAATTCCTTCTTTTAAAAACAGTTTACTTCATGGTAATTGATGTTCTTGTCAGTTATTTAAAGGGGAAAACACATTTGCACAATCTAAGTGTATTCCTTTTTTTATACTACAATGCGTAATGTTTATGTTTTGAAGCAGAAATATAAGTCATGAAAACCTTTGATGTTATTATTTCTAGGTATGATGGCAGACTGTACAATGCAATGTAAAAATAGAAATTGAAATCTATCAAACATCCCTATTCTATTATTTAAATGTTTATATATATATTTATAATTTTCATTTAAAAAAAAAGCAATGGAATGTGATCTTACTTTTTAAGTTCCTAATGCATTTAAACTTTTTGGTGGTCTAATGAGTTAAACAGTAAGGAGCAGATAGTTTTCTTAAAGTAATAAGAGGAAAGGCATATCCTTAAAGGTCGTCTATAGTTATCTTGTGGAATATGACTATGTTTGATTTCTCTGACCTTGGATTTTTTAAAAATGAGAGGTTCTAACCTCTCCTCTGTGTAATAGCAAGCTCTTTCTGATTACATAGGAAGTCCTGCATGTCTCAGGGGTGGAGATGCAGTTAACGGCTGCGGTGTCGTTCCTGACCATTCTACAGGAAGAGTCCGTGTCAATTCATACATATGCTCACTCCTTCCTCCAAGTCATTCTGCTACATCTGGAGCACAGGGACGCAGGTCAGCAGCGTGGCATGCTGAGTTCTGTACTTATGTATCGTTTCCTGGATGTGGCCTTGAGGTCTTTTGAATCTTGTTAGTCTGATGAGCATAACTGAAGGAGGCCATCCTGCCCAAGATTTGATCAGGAGTATGACTAAGAACAGCCATGGCCGTTTCCTTACAGACCCCGCCAAGTTCAGTGTCCTTGAGAGCTGATGACTCATCAATTCATCTTATGATCTGTACTTACTTCTTAGAATTTTTGAATTTTACAATATTTAAGTTTATAGTAGTATTGTACAGCAAAACGTGCACATTTTGGCTGAAAGATATTCCCTCTCTCCCATTATTTTTACAGATGTAAATGTTTTCTAGATGTTGGCCAAAGCGAAAAAGAAAATAGAGGAACTTCTTAAAATAGTAATAAAAATAACTATCCCATTTTATTAGATATTGTTATAACTTGATGGCTGAGTTAAAACTAATTTGTGAGAGATTTAATTTGGCATTTTTCCCCCCTCCCTGTGTCAACCAGGAGTCAGCAATGCATGGCTGGAAACTCTTCTGTCTGTAATAGAAGTATTGCCCAAAGAAACCCTAAGACATGAGGTAATACTTTTTTTTTTTTGGTAAATGCTATTAAGTAAGTCACTCCAGGGTTTTTGTTTTAGTTTTTACTGAAAAGTGGTACTTAAAAATAAAAAGAATAAAGTCATTTCCCTCTCTGAAAGCAACACATGTTCATTATAGAAAATAGGAGCAATACAGAAAATAATAGGAAGAAAAATCATGGTTCTGTACTTAGCCAAGATCTGAAAAATCATTTCAGATTTTTTCCCTGTATATGTTTTTTCTTTGCCATATTAATAATCATGTTGAATTTATATGTGGTTGTTTTTCACTTAGGATTATTTTCCTGTGTTACTCCGTTAAACTCATTTGGTAGTAAATACAAAATATTTTACTTGGTAAACATTTAAGCCTGTTTTGAGTATTTTGTTATTAAAGTAAGGCATTATTGAGCATCTCTTCAGAGCTTTTTCTGTTTTTCAGATAATTGTCTTAACATTTTTAAAAAATGTTTATTTTTGAGAGAGAGAGAGCGAGAGCGAGCACACAAACAGGGGAGGGGCAGAAAGAGAGAGGGAGACACAGAATCCAAAGCAGGCTCCAGGCTCTGAGCTGTAAGCACAGACTCCGATGCAGGGCTAGAACTCAAAAACTGTGAGATCATGACCTGAGCCAAAGTTGGCTGCTTAACCTACTGAGCCACACGGCACCCTTCAGATAATTTTCTTAACTGTCACTTCCAAAAAAGTGGAATTACTGAGTCAGAGGGCATTCACATTCTTAAGGCTCTTACTAGCAATGTGTGAAAATGCCTATTTCTGGACTGTTCTCAGCAATAGCATTACAGTTTAATTTGATGAGCCAAAAAATGGAATTTTGTTTTAATTGGAATTTTTTTTAATGTTTTTTTATTTACTTCTGAGAAAGAGAGAGAGACAGCATCAACAGGGAGGGTCAGAGAGAGAGGGAGACACAGAATCCGAAACAGGCTCCAGGCTCTGAGCTGTCAGCACAGAGCCCGACATGGGGCTTGAACCCACGAACCGCGAGATCATGACCTGAGCCAAAGTCGGATGCTTAACCGACTGAGCCACCCAGGCGCCCCTTTAATTGGAATTTTTTGATCATTACGCTGTTGAATATTTTCTCATATGTTTATATCAATTCTAATCTTTTGGAATTGTCTGATCATATCCTTTGGTCACAATTTATATGTATTATTTTTCAAGGTTGCCAATCCTTTGTTATGTTTGTTGCAAATATGGTTACTAGTTTGTTTGCTTTTTAATTTTTAACATTATCCAATATACTCTTATCTAAAAGTCTTAGTAAATTAAAATGGGAGAATAAGGAAATTAGAAAGGAAATTTATTCTGTAATGAAATGATTTTTCACTCTTTGAACATCATCCCTGTATTCTTTTCAAATATGTCATGATTGACAAAAGTAGCTATCCGTCAAGGAAATGCCCTCTATGTATTTCATGAAGTGTTTTTGTCCTTTTGTGTTTTGACCACAATTTTGTGGTCCCATCTCAGTGCCAAAACACTTGCTTGACAATAGGAAGATTTACCGCAGTACGAGGATGTTTGTATACTTAATGCCAAACATCTAGATGATTAACAGATACTTAAATGTTGAACATAGTGTTTACGTCTGTTGTTTCTATTTTTTTGAAGAGTGCTATGTAGTAGAATGCAGTTTTTACTCCCGAATACCATACATTATTTTATGTGATTTTTAAGATTTTAAACATGCAGTTTATTTTATTTTAGATCTTTGAGTTTTAAATTATGCTTATCATTATGCATTCAGCATTTCTGGCTTCTTTGTTGAGAGGAAAAAAAACCAGTTGACATTTTTATTAGAGTCCTAGAATTTCAGAACTTGGGGGAATCTTAGGATGATGTATTTTAATTTCCATTGTATGTCAATGAGAAGTCTTGGGATGAGAAATAAGAAATAGCAAGATCGGGGCACCCAGGTGGCTCAGTCGGTTGAGCGTCCAGCTTCGGCTCAGATCATGATCTTGTGGTTTGTGGGTTCAAGCCCTGTGTAAGGCTCTATGCTGACAGCTAGCTCAGAGCCTGGAACCTGTCTTCGGATTCTGTGTCTCCATCTCTCTCTGACCCTCCCCTGCTCACGCTCTCTCTCTGTCTCTCAAAAATAAATAAAACATTAAAAAATTTAAGAAATAACAAGATTACCTGGACAGATTAAAGAGTGGGGGCAGAATCAGGATCCGATCTTTATAGTTCTTTGTAGTGTGTCCTGCTGTTGAGGTTTTGAGTGCCCGGAATGTATGCAGTACAGTATCACACTTGGGTTACTGCAGTCAAATGATAGAATTACTTAATAGAATGTATTTGAAACTATAATGTTTTGTATCCCTTTAGGACATATATAAAAATCAGTCTGTATAGAATAAAAACAAATTTCAGGCAATATGGTAATTTGCTTATTTTTCATTTCAAAATATGCATTTCAACAATTATACTTTATATGCAGGCAGATCATAACAGAATTCACCATAAGCTTTAATTCAGTTTTTATGTACCTGGTTGTTGTTGTTTTTTTATTTTTTTAAAATGTTTTTATTTATTTTTGAGAGACAGAGAGACGGAGACAGAGCATGAGCGGGGGAGGGGCAGAGAAAGAGGGAGACACAGAATCCGAAGCCGGCTCCAGTCTCTGAGCTGTCAGGAGAGAACCCAGTGCGTGGTTCAACCTTACAAACCTGAGATCATGACCTGAGCTGAGATCCGATGCTTGACCGATGAGCCACCCAGGCACCCCCTGCCTGGTTGTTTTTTTAATTGCGTAATTTATCATCATCTTTCCTTTAATAACCCAGAAGGCCAACAAGTTGATTCAGGTTATGTGCCACCTCAAATTTTAATTGAGGTTTCTTAAAAACACTTAGGACCTTAAAATATTCCTTGAGGAAAATAGCTGACATTAGTGGCAAGAATATATAAAACTTTGTGAATTTGTTCTCTAAATATTTTCTCTTTAGATCTTGAACCCACTTGTTTCCAAGGCACAACTTTCCCAAACTGTCCAGTCTCGGTTAGTTAGTTGTAAAATTTTAGGAAAAATGACCAACAAATTTGATGCCCATACGTGAGTATTTGTATATAATTTTTTTGTCTACTTTATTCAGTTAAGTCGATTTAAAATGTATGATGGTAGTATGATTTACTATTCTATTAGACTTATGTTACTGCATACTGTATACAAATTTAGTTGTTTTAACTGTAGAATTCTTATAGTCTACTTCATCTTCTGTTCAGATGCATTTCTTCTGATCTCATGGCTCTTCAAAATCAACATGGTTAACTTTTTCTATTTCTCATCTTAGTCTTTTCTGTCACACACCTCGTGTAGTTTTGAGAATAAATTGGTATTATTCTATAGATTTCCAAAATTGTCAAACATGACATAGAGATAAGACTTTCTGATTTCTTCCATTGTTGCTATAAATTCATTATTTTGAATAATTTATCTTACTTTGAAGTTTTATGGAGAATGTTTATAATTTATATGCTACTCTCTGCCCAGATTATAAATAACCAACTAGAAAGAACGGAATGTTATATAATTACGGCACAGAGTAAAAGACAAAATTGAAGATCATTTTGGTTGTTAGTTGTTAGAACCCACTTGCCTGGGTAGCCTTTTATTTTAGCTAAGATATTTAACTGTCCAAAATGGACCATTATTTTAAAAAGATCCAGTCATGTATATAATTTACAAGTAACAGGAGATAACATCCAAAGGTAATGACATGTAAAAATCCATTATAAAGTATAAAGCTTTATATTAAAACATATTTGTTATTATTAGGGTAAGCTAAGATTTTGATGATAACTGAAAATTTTAATTCATCTAAAACACCCACTTGCATGTTCCTTTCTTTCCCTTCTAAGCATTAAAAGAGAGATACTTCCTCTGGTAAAATCACTCTGTCAAGATGTAGAATATGAAGTCCGGTCTTGTATGTGTCGGCAGTTAGAGAACATAGCTCAGGGCATTGGGTAAGTATCATTTCAATTCCTTGTGTCCTATTCTTATTTCTGGATTGTCAGTCAGACATGTGTATGCTGTGCCTGTGTTCCATGACATCGTGCTGTTAGAGGGCTAAATTTTATGTGACCTTGAAAAATGATCGTAACAAGTACCTCCTGATGTGTGTGGATTAAGAGAGGTTAAAGTGAAGTTGCTTAGCATTCGTTTCATGTTCATTTCTTTCTTTTTCACTTTAAGTTGCTTTAGTTAGCATCCCAAACACCTAGACCAGCAGGGAAAATGTCCCAGTATAAGCCATGCTTGGACTATTGGCAGTAGCATTTCTCCGGGCGGGCGGCATATTATTGGGTCAACTCAGATGGGATTACTCAGTGGAAGTCTCTGTTTCCTGAACACCTCAGCATTTCCACCGTCTGCTTGTTGCGCCCCTTGCCTTTTGGTTGTGTGAGGCTCAGGAAGGAGGTTTCTAGGACAACAGTCTCTTCTCTTCATCCATAGAAACTGATTTCATGTCAAGGTATGATATTAAAGGAAGTTTTAGCTAAGAACCATCTTGGGAAATCTTTTTTTTTTTTTTTTTAAGGATCCTAAATTGATAGAAAAAACATGTGGGATCTCTTATTTTTAGTAGAAGTTGCACTGTTTTCACCTGGTTCTTTGTTTCACAAGCAAGGACAATCAAGTTGTTGCCATTTGTACAATTCTTTAAAAAAAAACTTTTTTAATGTTTATTTTTGAGAAAGACAGAGAGTGAGTGGGGGTGGGGCAGAGAGCAAGGGAGGCACAGAATCCGAAGCAGGCTCCAGGCTCTGAGCTGTCAGCACAGCACCTGAAGTGGGGCTCAAACTCATGAACCCTGATATTATGACCTGAGCTCAAGTCGGACGCTTAACTGACTGAGCCACCGAGATAACCCTGCTATTTGTACAATTCTTAGTGTAAAAAAAAAAAAAATTGGGGACCAGTGCTTAAGTCTTTAGGATGACTTCAGAATGTCATACAGATTCAGGTCCTCTGTCCTGTCCACCTTGCTGAATCGGAGGATGTAAGTGTTGTGTTAGAAGCTTAACATTGCAACAGTAATCCTCCTCTAATTTTGATTTCAGAATTAGTTTCTTTCTGATAGATCTTCTTAGGCTAGGCTGACTCTGAATCGTTGTGGAGCATAAATAATTGAGTCTTGCCCACTTCTGTGCTCCTTAATCAGGATCAGAACCTACCAGGAGAATATATCATTGTCTTTTTGTATTCCATGTTTTGTCATCTGAAATTTCACCACTATTAAAAAAAAAAAAAAAACAACAAAGGCTGGTCAGATTTGTTCCAATTTGCCTTCTGAAAATTAACATAGGATTATTGCTTAAGGATTAAGTTAGAAAAGAAAGGCTAGAATCTGCCTACCTTGTTAACTTACGATTCACTTCAACTAATTTGCCTGATTAAATTTATTTAATTTTGAATTCTCATGAACTATTAAAACACAGTCATAGGACTTTCAGGGTATCATGGCTGAAAACTACTATGACCTGATTCATACTTTTAATTCCCCCTTTGATAAATATATAAAACTAAACAGAGGTATACGGTTTTCTTCTTTCAGCATTGGAAATTAGGACCTTTGTTAAGATCTCATAACCACCAACAGGAATTTTCTACACACAAGGCTGGGAGAAGCCCTGAGAGAGTGGAAGGAGGTGGGAAGAGATAATTTCCAAGATTGCTGCCAATTTAAGAGAGAGGCTGCCCACTGCTGTGCTGGCTGTTGTGGTCTAAGGCGCTTGGGAATAGGAAGTAATGGGAGGAGGCCCAAGAGCAGTATAGACTTGGGTTTGTAGTTTTGTATTTGGTGTGGCTGACAGGGGAACAATTACTGACCACTTTAGTTTAATCAGAAATGAGCACCAGAAATTGTTCTTCATTGAATAAGATAATCAGGAAGTGGAATTAAGAGATTCTTGTCCAGGGACGCCTGGGTGGCTTAGTCGGTTAAGCATCCGACTTTCGCTTAGGTCATGATCTCACAGTTCGTGGGTTCGAGCCCTGCGTCGGGCTCTGTGCTGACTGCCAGCTCAGAGCCTGGAGCCTGTTTCAGAGTCTGCGACTCCCTCTCTCTCTGACCCTCCCCTGCTCACGCTGTCTCTTTCTCTCTCCTAGAAATAAATAAAACATTAAAAAAAATTAAAAACTTAAAAAAATAAAAAAAAGATTCTTGTCCAGCCAACATATCCATAAGAAATGAAGGCTACACAACACTAGAAAGCTGACTATGGATTGGGCACCAATTTAGGAACAAAGAGGGCAGTTCTTAGAATAATCAGATTAATAGTGAATGGTATAATGAAGAGATTATGCACATGTGTTTGTAGGAAAACAGTTGTATGGAAGAGACCTCTCTATGTACAGGGATGACTAAAGAGAAAAAAGAAACAAATGTGGAATCTACAAAAAGATTCATCAGTGTTGGAGGGGAAGAACAGATAACACTCAGATCGGAAAGGAAGAACATACTTTTGAAGAAATTGATCAAACTTCTGGTGACATGACAAATAAGATAACCTGAAAATTCCCCCATTATTAACGTATGACAAAATTCAACATCCATTCATGGTAAAAACTCTCAGGAAGCTAGGGGTGACGGGAACTTCCTCAATCTGATACAGGCATGTATGAAAAACCGACAGCTAACCTCATAATTAATGGTAGATATTAAGGTAAGAACAGGTCAAGGATAGTTTTTATCACTTATGTTCAACACTGTATGGGAGGTTCTAGCTATTGAAATAAGGCAAGAAAACGAAAATCCTAAAGGTCTAAAGATCTGAAAGGAAAAAGTAAAATGATTTCTACTTGTAGATGACATCACTGTTTACATAGAAAATCCTCAGTAATTTACAAAACAACTATTAGAACTAATTAATGGATTTAAAGATGTTTCAGGATACATACAAAAATAGATATATATAGATCAGTGGAACAGAAGAGAGTCCAGAAATAGACCTACATATATATGTGGCCAGTTGACTTTCAACAGAATGCCAAAGCAGTTCAAGGAGGAAAATCTTTTCAAAACACAGTACTGGCATAATTGGATATTCATGAGAGAAAAAAAATGAACATTGATTCTTACCTCACACTGCAGATAAAGACTAATTTGAAATTTATCACCTTCCTGAATAAAATCAATAACCTTCCAATGTCCAATGATATAATACTGCTAGTTGGCATTTACTTCAAAGTTAAATATCTTTAATATGACCTAGCCATTCTCCTTTTAATTATATACCCAAGAGAAGTGAAAATACATCCACAACAAGAGTTGTATTATATACACATGTTTATAGCAGCTTTATTTAAAATAACCCGACAATCTTAATGTCTACCGATAGATGAAGGGAAAAAGAAAATGTGGTATGTCCATACAGTGGAATACTGTTTAGCAAGAAAAAGGAATGTCATGCTGATACATGCAATATGACAGCCTCATATATCTAAAAATCATTATGTTAAGAGAAACGAACCAGATACAAAAAGAGTAAGACTGTATGATAAAAACAAACTGCAGGGACAAAAGGCATATCCATGATTCCTTTTTTCAGAGGCAGATTGTAGAATTCAGATATAATGGGATTGATGATTGGTTCTTGTCCTTTGCCCTTGAGTTTTGCCTTTTGTCAGATTGGAAGGGAGTTGATATAGGGGAGGCTAAGCAGCTTTATGTTCTTAACAAAGAGATGGAGATGAGTGGGTCCTCAGTATTTCTTTCAAGCCTAGGCTCCTTAAAACAGACCAGTGGAAAAGGCACAAATAAGAAGTGTCCTTGAATTGCTGTTGCTGACCTGGCCCACCATGGAACTCGGGATCATCTTCATCAGCATTTAGTGTGATCAGACTGCTACCATCAGATGACACTAAATTATGGCCAGCACCTGGGTAGATTTGTATCACACAGCCAGACCCCAGAATTCCAGGTTGGCTACCTGGGCAAGCTTGCTTATTTCATTCATCTTGCTGTCACTCACCCTGTACTTTACATACCCCGCCTTCTGATGTCATGGAAGGGTTAGGTTGTAATTATTAGCATGTTGGCTGATAAAACTGGACTCTTACATGAATAATAGAATCAAGCCGTCCCCAGATTTTTGTTCCAAATCCTTGTATGCCAAAAGCATTTTTAGTAGAAAAGATAATGACCTAGAATTCTGCCCTCGCCAGAGTGGAGTTTCCATGTGAAGTCAAGAAAAATATATTCTCGGGGCACCTGGATGGCTTAGTCGGTTAAATGTCCGACTTTCGCTTAGGTCATGGTCTCCCGGTTCGTGGGTTTGAGCCCTGCGTTGGGCTCTGTGCTGACTGCCAGCTCAGAGCCTGGAGCCTATTTCAGAGTCTGTGTCTCCCTCTCTCTCTGACCCTCCCCTGCTCACGCTCTCTCTCTCTCTCTCTCTCTCCTAGAAATAAATAAAAATATAAAAAAAAGAACTTAAAAAAAATTCTCATAAACAAATTAGCACAGGAGGTGTACAGCTCACATCTACTTCTTTTTTAAAAATCTTTTTTATTAAAAATATTTTTTAATGCTTTATTTATTTTTGAGAGAGAGAGAGGAGAGAGAGAGAGAGACACCATGAGCAGGGGAAGGTCAGAGAAAGAGGGAGACATAATCTGAAGACAGGCTTTAGACTGAGCTGTTAGCACAGAGCCCGACGGGGGCTCAAACCCACTAACTTTGAGATCATGACCAGAGCTGAAGTTGGATGCTCAACCGACGGAGGCACCCAGGCGCCCCCCACATCTACTTCTTGAAGAAGTTACTCAGCTATAATCCAGTTTATTTAAAGGAATTAATGAGAGAGAGTATCTGCATCTTAAATGTGTGGGTCTGCCGTGATACCTTATTTCTACTTTTATAATGTGACAAATGGGCAAAGAAAACAAATAATATACTCCATAAAGAAGAAATACAAGTGTTTAATAAACATATTCAGTGTCCTTGTTCAACCTCCTTAGTTGTAGAGATTTATATTCATTTAATGAATATGTATTGAGCACCTACCATAAGCTAGGGATTACTTACGGATGATATAATAGTGAAAAAGATATAGTCCTATAATATGTGATATTTACAAAAACAATAGTGAAATGCTCCTTTTACCAATGAAATCATAAAAGTTAATGATAAATCTTTAGTGCTTGCAAAGCACAGGAAACATCTTCATGTCCTACTGGGAGAAGCATAAATCTAGAGTCTTCTTGAATTCTATAATATACAAAAAATTTTTGCTTATTATTAAGCAAAAATATTATTCCATTTTAAGAGATGAGTATAAGGAATTAGTTTATTCCTGTATTGTATACAGGAGTTTGTTCCTGTATGAGTATAAGGAATTAGTTTATATCAAAATTTATGAATAATGTAAGTATACACTTAGGTAATATTTACTATGTGTGAGACACTCTTCTAAGCACTTGTATGAACTTAATATCCTCACAACCATCTGTTGGAGAGATAGCGATTGTTTCTTTTTTACAGCTGAGGAAGCTGAATCCCAAAGAGGATGTATGTAACATCAACAGGGTAGAAGCCTGGAGGCCATCCATTATCAGAAACTTTCAAAGTTTATTGAAGTAGAGGGTTTCAGGTTATTTATTTTTATGTACTTCTTAATGTTTTTTAAAATTTTGATAACACATAAAAGCATTCTTTTAATCCATAGTGCATAGTGGTTAGTGGCTTTAACATAGTTGAAAACGAGAACCCCCTGTTGGTGTTGACTGGTTGAAATGGAAATGTCCTCATTACCACTAATGATAAGCAGATTTGATTTATTCACTTTGCGTTTTCAGCATTCAGAACTCCTTGTACAGCTGTTAAAGACCTTTTGGTTCTAATTATTTTTATTTCTAATACCCAGATATAATTAAGTTGGGTTTGCATCACTATACCATGCTTGGGGAGCAAAGTCATTTGAAAGATGGGCTGGAAGTAACTTTTGACTGTAAATGGGGAGGAAATCTTTATCATCTTTTATTCTTAATAAACTCAAGACTTTCAATGGTACACAAATCTGTTCTGAACAAAATTTGTATGAAATAAATTTTTATGACCTTGGGGCCAGAATCTCTCCTCTTCCTTCACCTCCTGTTTCCTGTGTGTGACAAATATCTGTGAACGTTAATGCTAACATCTGTACCTGTGATCGTAGATTCACTTTTTTTTCTTAGCCTTATGCTAAAGAAGTGGGTTTTATTGGTGATTTTCTTGGCAATTTACTCAGAATCTCATGCAGGTATTTTATACGTGAAGAAAAAAGCATTGTTCAGAATAAATTTTTTATTGAGGTATAATTGACATAGAAAATTATATTAGTTTCACGTGTACAACATAATGAGTCTGTATTTGTATACCTTGCAAAATGATTATCATTTTGGTAAGTCTAGTTACCATCTATCACCTTACACAGAGAATTTCTTTCTCTTATGACTTCTATGGTTTACTCTCCTAGTAGCCTTCAAATGTGCAATGCAGTATTATTAACTATAGTCACTATGCTGTGCAGCACATTCCCCTGACTTATTTATTTAATAACTGGAAATTTGTAACTTTTGACCACTTCCCCCCTTTCGTAGATTAATTTCCTAGCAATTTTTGGCCCTCTGATCACACAAGTCCTTAGAGCCTGGACTCTCTAATAAGGCAGCCGCTAGCCATGTTTGGCTATTTAAATTCAGTAAAATAAAGTTAACACTTCAGTTCCTCAGTTATACTGATGACCTTATTTTAAACACTCAAAAGTCACATGTGGCTACAATACAGATTATAAACATTTCCATCATAGCAGAAGGTACAGCTTGACATTGTTGTCTTTGAGCCTTTGTGTTCTGCCCTAAATTTTTTCATGTTTTCTGAAGCTCTTACTGACTTTCTTATCCTCTATTAGGTTATAATTCATGCCATCTTCTGTCATGTGTCTAGGAAGGACATGTGATAATGCGTCACATTATAAGCCTCCCCTTTATCAGCAGGTGTCATTGCAATAGCATCTTATTTCGGTGAATAAGCAGAAACTGATTAAAGTATTGAATGAGAACCATCTGTGATTGTATTATAAGTGTTGCATATGTCCGGAAAGCATGGATATTGTGTTTCGTTCTTTTGGAGAGAGCATCTAGTGCTATATAGCCTACTAGATAGGAACTAGTTACTGTAAAGTTATAGTTTAGGTAAATGAAAACATAATTCATCCCTTGAAATTGAGATAAAAAGATTTTAAGTTTTCTACAGTCACTACTGTTAGATTTTTCTAGTTAGTCCAGATCATCTGCTGAAGTTGCTTAAAGTGAAAACCATTTACAAATTATAACATTTAATGTAAACTTCTAGTCGTGAAGATCAGTGTAGGTAATCCTGTTATCCTGCTGGAACTAGAATTGATTTAAGTAACGAGATAATTATGATTCATGTTTCTTATGTTTATATCATGCTTTCCAGCCAGACTGGAAGCTTCTGAAGACCAGGAGCCAAATCTTTATGGTTTTTCCTATTTTCTCTAGCGCCTGGCCCCATGACTTGCACTTAATAACTTCTTGCTATAACGTATGAACTGATTTATTTTCTTCTATTGCTTCTTGTGCAGGACAGAACTTACAAAAAGCGTGGTGCTCCCTGAACTAATAGAACTCTCTAGGGATGAAGGCAGCAGTGTGCGGCTTGCGGCTTTTGAAACTTTGGTTAATCTGCTTGATGTGTTTGATGCAGGTAAATCTTCATGCGGACACATCTTTGCTTCTGAAAGCAGTGTTTTTCCCTGTTTTGTACCACTGATAGGGAGTAAAGAAAGCTAAAGGATAGAATTCCTTATTTTGTTTTATGATGAGCATTAAACCTCCCTTCCTCTGTCTCTTTCTAGTTCTTTCTGTTGCGGCACCTTCTCTGTTGCCACTTTTACCCTCCTAGCATCCTACGTTGCTATGTACATAGCATAATACATACATGTACTATGTACATACCTCTCTCTTTTCTCTCATCCATGTTTAACTGCCTTGTGTGGGGGGCTAAGCATTGGCTTGGTAATTAGGCTTTAACTTGCTCAACTAATGGACCCTTAGAAAGATGTTGATTAAAGCAATAATATTCCTTCCTTAATATTTTAATGCTAGAAATCTCCAGGGGAGATTTTCTTCCATGGGGAGGAAAAATTTGGGATGAAGTGTTTGAGGGGGAGTGGGTAAGGAGGTGTTTCTTAGGGCTGTGCAAATCAAATCACAAAGACATCACAGAGACCATTAACAACTCTGCGAACGAATGACTAGACTTTTGATGAATGCTGGACATTAATTTATCGGTAAACATTAACCATTTTGATACGGTGAAATTCGGAGGAGTAAATATCAAGTACCTAGGTGCAAAACTCTGTTGTGTAATTACAGGATTGTATTTACTTGGATTAACAACATTTTACCTGAACTAGGAGAGCCTCTTAAAGATTATTGCAATGCGGATAATAACTATGTATGACCGTTACAGAAGAGTCACTTAGCCTGTATATGAGCCAGAGGAGTAAGGACTATAATGCATGAAAATAGACACGTGAATGAATCTCCTTGTCCTAGGGGGCCTTGGACCTTCCCCGCTGCTCTCTTCCTCTCACTGTCCGCACTCAGGTGTCACAGATCTGGGCGTAACCTATGTTGGTGGCTTTCCCTGCCATTCCTTCCCGCTCCGATACCACTTGTCATCCCCTTAGCCATGAAACTCTCCCACACCGCCAGCCTTGCCACATACTAATTTTTCTCCGTTTTGTCTCCTTCTATTTTCCTCCTAACCAGCTTCCTTCAGTGCCCATTGCAAATACAGTTTCCTCTCTCGTTATCTCCCTAAATGTCTTAGGCCTGGGTTGGCCAGCTGTGGTCTGCAGGCCAAATCCTGCTCTACCTGCTTATGTAGCTGAAGTTTATTGGAACATAGCAGTGCTCATGTGGCTAGGTATTGTCTACAGCTGATTTCATGCTCTAGTTGACAGAGTAGTGACAGATACACTGTGAGGCCTACATTTACAAAAATTGCAGACCCGTGCCTTATACCCACTACGGAAATAGTGATCACATCGTCTTATTATAGTTTTGGGGTTTGGCTTCTTTGCTGGTCTGCGTTTCTCAAGTTCAGACCATTTATTACTCAGCTGTCGACTTCTGCTTAGTATAATGCTTGTTCTATACGAAATACAATGAATGTCTAATAAATGTCATTTGGTTAAAACGGTAGATGTGGTACTGAAGCGTAATGATAGTAACAGTAATAATAATAATACTACTAAACCTGTTGCAGCATTTTGCTTAGTCTTGTCAGACCCTTAATAGTGCTTCATTTCTGAAAGTTTAAGGGAATGATGGGAAATTCAGAGTGTTTAGAATCAAGATGTTAACGTTGCTGTGATATATGAGAAATTTATAACCTAGCAGACATATTTAAAAATATCGATTAACTTCTTTTTAAAACATTTTTTAAATATTTATTTTTGAGACAGAGAGAGAGACAGACAGAGCACAGGCAGGGGAGGGGCAGAGAGAGGGAGACACAGAATCTGAAGCAGGCTCCAGGCTCTGAGCTGTCAGCACAGAGCCGGACGTGGGGCTCAAACTCACAAACCATGAGATCATGACCTGAGCCGAAGTAGGATGCTTAACCGACTGAGCCACCCAGGCGCCCCACACAATATCGAATCGCTTCCTAAGGAAGTGTCCTTTAAGAAGTAAAAGTTTTGAAATTCAATAAACAGAACATATTATAAGCTAACAATTTCGGTCAGAAAAAGCTGCTCCCTGGTATGAGATACCCGCAAACCAAGTGACACCTGTGTCCTGAGCCTGCCGCTTATCCGTTCACGTCAGCGGTCCCGGGGCTTCATAGTTATTCAGCCTCAAAGCCTCAATCCTTGAAGCTTTTTAGCTTGTCATCCCTCTTTATAGTTGGTCTCTGTGGCCCAATGGCCACGAGCCTGAGCCCCTCAGCCTGGCGTTAAAAGTTTTGCTGATCTCAGCCCTATCCTGGCTACCACGCAGCTCCCCGACCAGGGCTTGCAGAGATGATGTTCCATAACTGTGTGGCCAGCGTAGTGATTGTCCTTTCTGGAATCTGTATGTATGCATTTCTACATGTGCAGCGTGGGTAACTAGATCTAAAGTCTGTTTTGTTCTGTTTTGTTTTCCAGATGACAGAAGTCAAACTATCCTTCCCTTAGTGAAATCATTTTGTGAAAAATCTTTCAAAGCAGATGAATCAATTCTTATTTCCTTATCTTTCCATTTAGGAAAGCTATGCCATGGACTATATGGTATGATCTACCTTAAGAATTTCTTTTTTTTTTTTTAATTTTTTTAAATGTTTTATTTATTTCTAGGAGAGAGAGAGAGACAGCGTGAGCAGGGGAGGGTCAGAGAGAGAGAGAGTCACAGACTGAAACAGGCTCCAGGCTCTGAGCTGGCAGTCAGCACAGAGCCCGACGCGGGGCCCAAACCCACGAACCGTGAGATCATGACCTAAGCGAAAGTCGGATGCTTAAGCGACTAAGCCATTGAGGCGCCCCAAGAATTTCAAGATTGTAGATAATTGTTTCCTTTTTTTTCTACCTCAGACACTAGACTTGGGTTCCCTAGTTGTTAAACCTGTCCTTTAAGGGTAGAAAATCTTAAGAAGTCTTAGATTTTTGATAGCACAATTTAGAACACATTTAATAACTTCTTTTTCCCTAATAGAACCTATTTGAAAGAACAGTGACAGAATGAAGTAGTCAATGGCCCTTTAAATTTCTGAATATTTTCTATTTATCAATTGGCATCGATACAGTCATATTAACTATTGGTGCATATGAAGTATACCCTTAGTAACTATTTGTCGGGTAACTAATATATCATGTGAGCAGTTCGGCTTAGAATTTAGAATAATACTCATGACTTGGCATTTTGAAGACGTTACTCAGTTCTTAGCTTACTGTAATAACGTAAGCATAAATTAAATTATAGCCATCTGCTATACTAAAGCATTTTTACACATGTATATTATGGGCTTTTAATTGGCTGTTGAAAATAAGTTTTGCAGTACATGAGTTCCTAGCACTCTAAGATTTAAAGTTACGAATATGGAACCAGTCTGTTGATCAAAAATATTTAGTTACTTTGCCATCTTTTAGATTGAGTTTTTAAGCGCTCTCTTTGCAGACACACATACATGTCTTTTCTGCAGGCAGTAAATAGCAGTAATGGTCCTTACATGTTATTGTTGTAGTGACTTGTTAGTGGCCTGTGGTATGATACAGGCTGCGCAAATTCAGTCATAATTGCTGCGTTGCATAGTTTATTCGATTAAATTTAAAGTATTATTAAAATCAACATAAAGTGAAACAATAGACCCTTTGGATTTCTCCCTAATAGGCACTCTTTCCTCATCGTTGCTTTTATTTATGATCTGTAACAGTTTACTTGAGTATTTGCTTCCCATTATGTAAGTGCTGTAGTTTGCTTTTCTCTCTTTATTTTTTGTTTTCAATGAAAATGTTGAACAAAGGTTTTACATTTGTTTTAGGAATTTTTACTCCAGATCAGCACTTGAGATTTTTGGAGTTTTATAAGAAACTCTGTACGTTGGGTTTGCAACAGGAAAATGGACACAATGAAAATCAGATTCCACCCCAAATCCTAGAGCAGGAGAAGAAATATATTTCCGTACGGAAGAACTGCGCTTATAACTTTCCGGTAATTAATTATGTGTTTCTACTGACAAAAGGTTTTGATGATACCTTTAAAATATATGAATAGATAGCGTTAAAAATCCATGGCCCTATTTGACCCTGCTGGTTAGCCTTATGTCTGGTATAGACAGTAGGTACTGAGTAGTATTGGTATAATTTACATTTATCTTTATGTGTAAATTAGAGCCATATGAATGCATTTGGATCTTCCGAATGTGATTTCTATCTAAATTATTATTTAGAGGACGTGATTTCAATTTAAATGAAATGATTGTAATATTAGGTATTGATGCATGTTTTTCTCTCCTTCCCACTCATCTTCTCCCTTCCATCTCCACCAGGCCATGATTGTTTTTGTTGATCCTAAAAACTTCCACATGGAACTCTATTCTACATTCTTCTGCCTTTGTCATGACCCTGAAGTACCAGTCAGATACACTATTGCCATTTGCTTTTATGAAGTAAGTGTGAAGAAGTATTTGCTCTTTACAGTTGTTAAGTCCACATATATGTATATACACATATATGTGTGTGTGTATATATATATATATATATATATATATATGCTATAGATGAGTTTTTGATATTTTGTATACTTCTGTTTATAAAGGTTTATTATGTGATACGGGCCCCATCTCTTTCATATTTTAGTCCTAACTGTTATTTTAAAGTTTCCATAATTCTCTTTTTAGTGTGTTTACAGAATTCATTTACATAAGCACATAATATTCATTTATCATTTATTAGTCCATTCATTCAGTATATCTCTATTAAAGTGCTTACTTTAAGCCGGCCATTGTGGTGTCAATATGGGTATTTCAGCTTTGGAAGTAAAATCAGGTTTTATATGCTTTACAATACTTATATTTAACTTTGCATCTAAACTCAAGAACCTGAGAATAAATGGAAAATTGAGTGACAGGTTATTTATTGTTTTTCTGTGAATGGATCGTCTTTTCATGAACATACCTGTTAGGTTCAGCTGTTACAACAACTCTCTTTAATGGAAGAAGCAAACATGAATTAAAATTATAAGATGAAGGTAATTAACTTCTTAACCCTTGATGTTGAAATTTGGGTGTGTGTCTTGGACAATCCCAGGAAGCACACGTTCGCTATATAGTTGCAGTAACATGGATAAACGATAAGTTAACAACTCCAAAATATAAATCTGTCTTTGTAAATGGCATAAGAAAATATTTCCTGTCTTCACAAGAGATATCTATTCTTAACTCTCAATAAGAATATTTCAGCCTCTTGCTTGCACCGGCTTCCTACCTCAGAGCACTGTTTGATTAGCTGCAAGTGCAGGAGAAATCTGTAGCACTGTCATTATGTGGCTTGAGACTCTTGAGTGCTGGGTGACAGTCTTCTTTTGAAGAATACATTTCCTGTTATGAATGAAATGTTTGTCGTGCAGAATCTAGGAGATATTTCCCTTAACTGGGATAACTAATTAAAATAATTCCCGTATTGTACAATGAAGTTATCTTTGTAAATATACCTATAGAAATATGCTTTTGGAGGAGGGGATGAGACAGAGGGCGCTGGCTGGCTGAGGGAGATACCTTCTCCAGGGCGCATTAGGTGGGCATTTAGTCTTGGTCACTGTGTGTGCTTGTTGCTATTAGATTAATGGTCTCATGAGGTTAAGTTTCTGAAAACGCAATGGTTTATGTAATATTAGAGTTTGTACTTCTGTTTATTTTTATCTCATCCCTCTAAAATTTCATCTTTATTTGTGTTTTAGAGTGGACGTAACATGTTAGCACCGTAGAGATAAACATCTTGAAATGTGTACACAAAAATATTGCACTGGTAGGCGTGAGTTTAGAAATTGTGGATCTAGCTATTTGCTGGGTGGCTAATTGCCACGTCCCCTCAATCATACCATGTAGGTAGGCTGGTCATGATGCTCTTCTCCAAAAATGAATTGTTCATCTAGGTTTGTCCTCTTAAGTAGTGAAAATCCGACTCGGGAACTTAAATTTTCCTCACAGGGTTATTGTTAAATTCTGATAGTTACTTGCCTATATCCTAACTTGATTCTTGTTTTTCATATTCTTGTTATTTTGTTATCTTGTTTTCAAAATAGTATTTTGAAAATATTCCGAACGAATCAGAAACAACCCTGTAGAGCAAAGGTTTTTAAAATACTTTCTTTATCCAGGAAGCACTGCCCTCCCCCCACCCCCCTGCCCATTAAAATCCTACCCAGAAGCCCAATACGTAAAAGCAAACAAACAAATAAATAAATAGTGAAGTAGAAATTGGTGAATTTACCATTGTGGCTTCTGTCTGTCTGGAGGAAGGAAAAAACTCAAGCCTGTTCATAGGGGAGCTTAGATTAGACCCTTCCAGCTCCTCTTGTGCTGATCAAAGTCTTTGAAGGGAAAAGTCGTCGATATCTTGCTTGCTTGGGACCCCCCTCTGTCCCTGTGTCACACAGACCTTCTGTGGAGCCTGCCTTCTTCAGGAGACGCTGATCCAGGGCGGACACTCATGTGCCCGCGCTAACCTGTGAGACCCTGTTGGCTGCTGTAAGATGTCAAAATATGAGCTGGAGGCATCCATGGGCTTATTGCTTGTGATATGAAAATTATGGCTCTGATAAATCCTTCCTGCACCTGCTGCGGTCATGGGGGCACTTACTTGCCCATCCTCACATGTACACACTCCAGAGTGTTATAAAGAGGCTAAAAAGCTGGTTTTGTATGCAGTTAATTTTTCTAGAAATCCAATTTTATGTTAATGTTGTAACCTAGTCTCATTTCAGAAGAAGTATCTAACAGAGATGTATTTTGTAAAGTTGTTATTATTACCGTTTAGATATAGTCTAGTAGTTTTAAATCTGAGAGATTTTATTGCTGCATTTTAGGTCTCTAAACTTCTGAATTCTGGAGTATATTTAATACATAAAGAACTGATAACATTATTACAGGATGAATCACTGGAGGTAATATCTTCTTACTCTTTGGTTTTTACTTCTTTTATGTTAAATCTGAATATATCAATGCCCCCCCCCCCCCACTTCTTAGGAATTGCATGAATCCTTTTAGCTGGCAGTCCCCAAAAGTGTTAAGACAATGTACCATTGTATCATAGACTGAAAATTGAGATCTTTAAAAAAAATACTAGGGCTTAAAAAAAGTATATATGTATATTTGCTTATTAAGGAAAAATCAGGAAATGCCAAAAAGGAGACAGACAAAAGAATATCTTTAGTTCCAATCACTTACTGTTTTGTTGTATTTTAAAATTTTTCTGCTTTTTTCTGTGAAAAGGTTTTTATTTTACACAATTGCACTCATATATTATATTACATTTTATATCTTTTCTCTCTCTTTGCGTTGTTTGGGGACTATACTTGTGGAAACTTTGCAATACTTTATTTTGATGCTGTGCTTAGTATATCTTGTTCACCCAAATGAGTACTAGCTTGCCTAAGTACTTGCCAAGCATCATCGATGTTTAGTCATTGCAGTGGGTGCTATCTGACTTAAACTGCTTTTTAAAAGTTGAGAGGCAGTTTTTCAGCATGTTGGTTGTGTAGAGATAGCTGTCGCAGATCTAGACTATATGAACAATGTCAAGAGACAGATACACGAATCTCGTTTCAAAGGTAGTTTGGATCAAGGCAGTTGATTATGTTTCTAAGAAGATGGCAACATAGGAGAAAAGAAACTCCCAAAATGTTGCTGGATAAATAATACTTTCTCTGCACAGAGATTGACATATGAGACTAATGCAAGATTAGAAAAACAGTAATTGCCATAAAAGTAATCAACATCTCTATTAAAAGGTACTAGATGCTCTTATAGATCATCTTCCAGAAATCCTTGAACTTATGTCTACTGGCGGAGAAAGCAGTGTTCAAGAAAATAAGGTAAATCTCATGTATCAAAGAAGTTCCTGAATGTTTTAACCGTGATCTTACTCTAGAGAGTTGTTGTGGGGAACAAGCAGAGGATGTATGGAAAATATTTAAAGTAGTGGTTACCCCATATTCACAAGTGCTTATTAGTAAATGTCTGTTGGAGCTGCAACAGCCTGAATTTCCACTCCGGTTCCTGTATTACCGTGATTCTTACTGCCCTTGGAGTTTACGTTCACATTTTCAGTTTTCATCAGCATTAATTATTATTCCAAGAGTAGCTTCTGGGGAGGACAGAGGGTAGGGATTTAGAAGGTCACAAGTTTCCAAAGTGAAGTAGAATAAATTTTACTTTGATAGAGGAATTAGTTAGAGGGATTGCGCGTTACTTAGAAGGATTGTGAGCCCCATTCTCTATTTCAGAATTTCGTTTTTGGTAACTGTTAGTTTTACTTACGGAGTTTTAAAAACGTATGTATTTGAATTTGCCAGATAATGGTCCCCCTGTGACAACCGAGATCCTCCTAAGTTGTGAAGCGAGCAAGCGTGTCCCTGTGCCTAGTGCATTGTAGGCTGAAGGATTCGCTGGAATGCCGCAGCGGATTTCTTATAATCTGTCCTCTGATGTGCTTTCTTTTCAGTTGTCGTCTCTGCCTGACTTGATCCCAGCACTCACAGCTGCTGAGCAGCGAGCCGCGGCCTCCTTGAAATGGAGAACTCACGAGAAGCTACTGCAGAAATATGCCTGCCTGCCCCACATCATATCTAGCGATCAGATTTATTATCGTTTCTTGCAAAGAATGTTCACGATCGTGATGACAAATGTGAGCCCAGTACCTTTTATCTAATTGTTTTGAACTCACACCTGATTTAGGAATTACCAAATTCTTCACATTCTCAAAATAGTACAACAAACCTCATTTATTCCATTTTGTCCTAGAAGGACGTTTCTCTTGCGAGGCCCCCAAAGGGGCAACTTAAGTTTTTCCCTGTGCTTTTCTACTGATGCTAGTTTTTGAACGTTGTCTATACAGCTGGATTGGAGAATGAGCAGGTGGCACCTTTACTGACCCTTTGTCTGTATGCTGCCAAGGAGGGTGTAAACAGACTCACCTCACACTTGATAATAGCTCTTCTCAAGAGGAAGGTTGGCAGGAGTCTGTGAACTTGGCTGCTAAGTACGGCCTGCTCTGATAATACACCTTATATGTGTCATGGCCTCTGAGCCAGCCTCACCTATGCTGCATTGCCAAGCCACCCTGTAAGCCCCTCAGTCTTAGTGGAATTACTTTTTAAAAAAATTTTTTTAATGTTTGTTTTTTGAAAGAGAGACAGAATATAAGCCAGGGAGGGTCAGAGAGGGAGGGACACAGGATCCTCAGCACGTTCTGAGCTGTCAGCATGGAGCCTGACACAGGGCGCGAACTCATGAATTGTGAGGTCATGACCTGAGCTGAAGTTGGACGCTTAACCGACAGACGCTTAACCACCCTGGCACCCCAGTTTTTCTTTAAAGTACCTCTAAAAGATGGCTATGTAACAGATCAAGCTTATATTAAAAACATGGTGATGATGGATAACCTTAAAATTAGAGTCAAAAGCAGGACAAAAAGAAAAGATTTGTACTCAAATCCCTCAGAGAGTAAGTTGTCTACCTTTGTTACAAAAATTTACAGAGAGATCTATTGAACCCACAGTTCACTGTACATTTAATATGTCTTCCTACCACTTCTGAAGTATAAAAAACTTCCGTATAACGTATATGTTTTAGAAGCTGTTAAAAACGTGCTTTATCTTCTCATTGTTCTCAATAAAAGGGAGATAATGAAATCTAATAGCCATCTCAGAAACCCAAAATCCATTTTAGCCTCAAAGATAAAAAGAAAAATAACATGATTGGTGTCATTTACAACTTAAGTAAAAAACAAAAGATAGACATTCATGAACTACCACTTCTACAAGTTAATTCCATTCATCAAAGTAAAGCCTAGAAGGTTATATTATAGCCATAACGCTCTTAAGAAATGACTTTGGCAACAATGCCTCCTTATCAGAGGACAGTGCATCAGTGTGCCACATAGGAGATTTCACATAAAATTGAGCAGAACGTATTAATTATTTTATTCAGAAATTACTTGCTTGAGTACCTGCTGTGTACCAGGCACCGTTCCAAGAGTTAGGGATATAGGAGTGAATAAGATGGGCTTCTGCTCGTAACAGAGCTGGCGTTCTGTGGTGGTGGCGATGAGGCGGATAATAAAACAGGCTGGTAAGTGCTGTCAAGTTCGGTCTTAATTGTTGCTCTCAACCTGATTATTCAGTAGGGCCTGTTGTATTTCTAAAGCCAAGGAAACATAATTATTCCATAATTTTAACTTAACAGGAAAGAGCAATGATTTACAACATAGAGTGTGAACAAAACCCTTATAAGCCTAAGAGATTTGTTTTACTATTTTCTTTTATAGGACAGTAATTCCACACTTAAAAGGAGATCCAGGATTATTATGTAGCATGTTTTCCGTGATCTAAGAGGACATGTTACTCTGTTTCAGTATTCTCTGGAGAAAACAAAGATTTGCTTTTTTTTTTTTTTTGGTTGGTCTCAGGTTTTTTTTTTTTAATGTTTTATTTATTTCTAGGAGAGAGAGACAGCGTGAGCAGGGGAGGGTCAGAGAGAGAGGGAGTCACAGACTGAAACAGGCTGCAGGCTCTGAGCTGGCAGTCAGCACAGAGCCCGACGCGGGGCTCGAACCCACGAACCGCGAGATCATGACCAAAGCGAAAGTCAGACGCTTAACTGACTAAGCCACCCAGGCGCCCTGGTCTCAGTTTTATAATATGTATCTTCAATTTATCACAGGGGATCCTTAAATATCATACATTTTTGTCTACATTGTATGAACATTTGACCAGTGTGGTTCCCATTTATTTTCCCATCTTTTGAATTCTTTGTTACCATATATTTAAATTTACATCATATAAAATCCATAATTAATTGCTACTATTCTTGCTTTAGGCAGTTATCTTTGTAAGTAGTTAAAAATAGGGGCGCCTGGGTGGCTTAGTCGGTTAAGCGTCCAACTTTCGCTTAGGTCATGATCTCGCGGTTCGTGGGTTCGAGCCCCGCGTCGGGCTCTGTGCTGACTGCCAGCTCGGAGCCTGGAGCCTGTTTTAGTCTGTGACTCCCTCTCTCTGACCCTCCCCTGCTCACTCTGTCTCTGTATCTCTCTACTAGAAATAAATAAAAAAACATTAAAAAAAAAAAGATAAATGCCTTTATATTTACTTTTCTTTTTACCATTTCCAGAACTATTCATTTCTTTTGTTTGTTTGTTTATTGTGAAGTTCGTTTCCATATAACATCCAGCGTTCATTCCAACAGGTGCTCTCCTTCATGCTCATCACCTCTTTTCCCCTCTCCCCCAACCCCCTCAACCCTCAGTTCTCAGTATTTAAGAGTCTCTTATGGTTTGCCTCCCTCTCTCTCCTAATCTATTTTTTCCCCTTCCCCTTGCCCATGGTCTTCTGTTAAATTTTACCTGTTTCACATAAGAGTGAAAACATATGGTATCTGTCCTTCTCTGCCTGGCTTATTCACTTAGCCTAACACCCTCAAGGTCCATCCACGTAAGATTTGCATTTTTAATTCCGTACCTCATGGTCAGAATTCACATTCCTTCAGCAAAATTAACTGAGAGCTTACTGTATGCCAAGCACCCTTCTGGGTACCAAACGACAGCAGCAAACAAAAGAGAGAAAGGACTTATGATCACAGACCCTTAAATTCTGTTGGAGACAGGCGGCGAACAAACCTACGTGTATAGTATGTCAGGGATGAAAGAACAGTGAACAACAGGAAAGCAGGGGAGAGGGCGAGGAGCGTGACCGAAGGGAGTAGGGTGCTGTTGTGGAGAGAGTGGCAGGAAACGTCCACTCTGATCAAGCGTGCTTCGTGCAGAGGCTTGAACGAAGTAAGGGAGTTATTACCATGCGGATGTCTGAAGGACAAGTGGTCTGGGTAGAGGGAATGGTGTGGTTGCGTGAGGAGCAGGGAAGCCAGTGTAGCAAGTTGTAGAGACCTGAGGTGGAGGGGGGCTGGGCCCCCAGCACGGCACACTTTGAGGGCCACGATGTGGGATCTCGGTAGTAGTCTCTGAAACAAGGGAAGTCTTTGGAAGGTTTTGAGTAATGACATAGCTTTTTTCCCTACTTCTGTTGTGCAAAAAATTGAAAGCTAAAGCAGAAAGGCAGCAGTGTACAGTTTTATTCTACTTGAATTTCAAGGATCCCCCCTGTAACAGTCTGACTCTTTAATAATTATATTAGAGTACTTATATGTAAGATGGTGTACGTGAATTTTATACTGGGCACAATAGATCTGGTTGAGAGATTTGTCTCTAATACATAGTTTGAACTCAAACCCAGTAAAGACAGATGATTCATTTAAAATGAATGAATCCTGCTCAGTGGTGTGACAGAAATCCAAAAGACAAAGAAGTACAGAACACTAGTAAGAGTTTATGGACGTGGTGTCCCTTGGATTCTAAGTTTTATCTGTGGTGTGGACCAGGGACCTCAGTGATGACATTGAGTTCAAAGAGTCAGAAGCAAGCCAGAACGGTTGAAAAGTGTATCTGATCATGGGCTCTCTAAATTTATAGTTTAGAAGTGGCACATTTTTGATGATGTATCTGACACAGGCTGTGTTCTTGCAGGTAAGTCCAGGGAACGGCTAAGAGTGGGGGGCCGAGATGTACTGGGGGAGACTCTCACCTAAGATGAAATGGCAGAGAAATGAGAATCATATATATAAATCAGAGCTGGATGATTTGGAAAGGGTGCCAAACTAAATTAACTTTGTAATGTGATACATTAGTTGATATGCCTGAGTGGTATTAACATTAAATTATGAGGGTAGTTCCACTTTGATTTGAGAGGTGGATAGCACTGTTCTTCCTTTTTTTTTTTTTTAATAGTTTATTTATTTTTGAGAGAGACACAGAGGGGGGAGGGGCAGAGAGAGAGACACACACAGAATCTGAAGCAGGCTCCAGGCTCTGAGCTGTCAGCACAGAGCCTGATGTGGGGTTCAGACCCACAAACTGTGAGATCATGACCTGAGCCGAAGTAGGACGCTTAACCGACTGAACCACCCAGGTGCCCCAACACTGCTCTTTTAGCCCAAACTGAAAATTGATTTGTGGAGCAAAATTATATTATTATATTGGTTTAATTGTCTTTCTTATTTCTTTAAGAACGTCTTACCTGTCCAAAAGGCAGCTTCACGAACTCTATGCATTTTTCTACGTTATAATCGTAAACAAGAACAGAGGCACGAAGTCATTCAAAAATTAATTGAACGTAAGTAATCATCACCTCTCATTTTGAAAAACAGAAAGTAAGCAAATCGGCCTTAGTTAGCTCTGACTTACTGCGTGTATCATTTTGCCATGAATTGTTAGGCTGATATTGGTAAATATCTGGAGTGTGTTTGTATTTGAGGTTAGGTTAATTTTGGGGGGTTTTTTAGAAATCTTTAAGATAGGATTATTCTGTGATGAATGAAAGTAGTAACCACTCTGGGTCGTCTTTAGTGAGTTTCTACACTTGAAAAATTAAAATAATGTACATTTATGGTGAAAGCCCAGTCCTGATGAAATAACATTTGGAACTAAAATATGAGTTGAGTATCCATGAATGTAGCGTTTTATGTTGTTATGTTAAATATTAATAGAATGCAAGGATTTTTTTAGTTTCCTTGAGTAGAGTTGATACACACATGAATATGAATCTGGTTAAGCCTACGTAGTTCGTAATGTTTTAAAAAATTATATCAGTTAACAAATGCAAATTTATTTTAATTTGCTAAGGGCTAAATTAAGACAAAAACCTATAGTTAATGTGTTCATTTTGGAAGAAGTGTCACATACTTATGTATACTTAGTGAATTTTTAATTCTTGTGTACTTGCTTTGACCATAGTGTCTCAATGCTTTTATTAAACTCTTGTTATCCAGCATAGGTGGGTAATGGGATTTTCTGGTTATTGCACTTCACCATTTTAAGCATAAATCACCGCTTTTCAAAAAATTAAGAGTGTATAAAATTCCATTTAAGAAAAATTATGCTCAGTATACTTTAATCTCTCTCTTTTTGACTCTGTTTCAATTTAATTTTCATTTCTCAGTGGTACGACCTTACATTTAGAATCAGTTTTACTCTGAAAGGACATTCTGTTTGGCTTTAAATATTAAGAATTTTGCTTTTGAACATTTGTGTAATAAGAGAGAAAACAATCCTTTAAATGTTTACCTAAATTATTGACAGTAATACAATATTAACCACTTCAGAGCATTTCTGTGGAAACGAGGTGAAGAAAGCAACTAACTTGATTGGTCAAATATAACTTCAGAGTTCGAAGTTACACAGACTTTCATTTGCAGTCCAGCACTACCCCTACCAGCTCTGTGACTTTAACCTCTGAACCTCCTCTCAGGTGGATAAATCTAGACTTAACCCATTGGATTGTTTTTTGGGATTAAATGTGATAATATGTTTTGGCCCCGCGTTGGGCTCTATGCTGACAGCTCAGAGCCTGGAGCCTGCCTCACATTCTGTCTCCGTCTCTCTCTGCCTCTCCCCTGCTCACACTCTCTCTTTCTTAAATATAAAATAAAACATTAAAAAAAAAACTTAAATGTGATAATATGTATAGAGTACTTAACATGTAACAGGCGACCAAAAAATAGTATAGTTATTTAGTACTTAATAAATGCTTACGGAATTGAATGCAATGTTTAATACTTTTTTTATTTGTTTGTTTTTTGAGATGTCCTTAATTTGGGAGTCTACAGGTCTTTAGGATATATGATTTTTTCCCCTCTTATCTCTTGTATTGGCTAAGCAAATTGTGGATATAAAAAAAAAAACTTGTCATGGATTTTGTGTGTCTAATTTCATCATATATACTTTCATGTAGGAAAGATTAAACTTCTCTTTCTTGTTGTTGTTTCTAGAACTGGGCCAAGGAAAAAGTTATTGGAATAGACTTCGATTTTTGGATACCTGTGAATTTATTATAGAGATCTTTTCCAAATCATTTTTTTGTAAATATTTCTTTCTACCTGCTATTGAACTGACACACGATCCAGTGGCAAATGTGAGGTATGGTACCCAACCCATTATCAACTATAGTGACCATGCAAAATCAAATTTTTAATAGTCAATTAAGAAACAAGTGAATAATGTGTACTTACTTTGAAATTCCTTGTAGTCTTACTTGATGAGCCTCAGTAAGACTCAGAAGCATCATCTTTTAACAGTGTCTTAGGTCTTTTGTTTATTGGGTTGAGAGACCAATAGTCAAAGGCAGACGGGCAGGTGTCTCCTGCCACTTGGATACACACATTGGCATCAGGAGAAGGTTGAGCAGATATTCTAAGTTTAAGGATCTTCTAAGACTAAAGAAAAAATTCAAAGTTGACGGACGAAGTTCTGTCCATTTTTAGAGGCAATCAAGAGATTGGTTTTTGTTTTATATTTTTAGTGTAAGAAACTACAGAAAACACAACTGCATTGGCTTCAGTATTCTGCACATCTTCTCTGTGCTACATAACGAATGAATCTCACCATGTGGCAAACATTTTGCAAATTGAAGTTGTGGCCCTAGAAAAGCAGCTCCCACTATGATGAATTCTCACTTAATCAAGCAGATGACAAAAGTAATTTGAAGGGAAACGAGGGGCACCTGGGTGGCTCAGTCAGTTAAGTGGCCGACTCTTGATCTTGGCTCAGGTCTTTTTTTTTTTTTTTTTTTTAATATTTTTAATTATTTCTGAGAGAGAGAGAGAGACAGTGTGAACAGGGGAGGATCAGAGAGAGGGAGAGAGATACACAATCTGAAACAGGCTCCAGGCTCTGAGCCAGCTGACAGCAGAGAGCCCGACACGGGGCTTGAACCCAAGAACCGTGAGATTATGGCCTGAGCCGAAGTCGGACGCTTAACCGACTGAGCCACCCAGGTGCCCCTTGGCTCAGGTCTTGATCTCACGGATCATGAGTTTGAGCCTCCTATCGGGCTCTGCTCTGACAGTGAGGAGGCTGCTTCGGATTCTGTCTCTCCCTCTCTCTACCCCTCTCCCGCTCTCTCTCTCACTCTCTTTCTCAAAATAAATACATAAACTTTAAAACAAAAACCTGAGAGGAAATGAAATCATCTCTAACCCAGGTCAGTGTGGCTGAAAATAGCATTGACCCTAAGAGAAAGCACCCTGTCCATTCAAAAACCAAATGAAGATTTATTGAACATTGCTGTGTGAAATTTGGTTATTTTGGGGGTGAGAGATGATTGCATAGCAGTTTGTCTTGGTTCCCACTCTTCTGCCTGGGTAACTGCCCGCCAAACAAATGGGTCCAGCAACACCATACACTAATCGGCTTTTGGATACAAAAGCATTTGCCCAGCTCTGCAGAGATGTGTAGATAGAACGAGGGCCATCCCAGGCAAGTGTGGTGGGATCGTGCACGTAGGACAAGGGATTCTGGATCCCTGCCGCCTGAGCTGATTTCTAGCTGTGTACTAGCTGTGTGTCTTTGGGAAAGTTACATAATCTCTCTGCGCATGGATTTCCTCAGTACCTAATTCATAGGGTGTTTTGAGAGATAAATACCTGAGATATTGTACATGAAGGGTTAGCTTACCAGAAAGGGTGTGAGACCTGATCTTAAAATCTTTATAATCTCATGGACCCAGGATTCTCAGAAATCACCATTGTGGCTTTGGGTAGCTTCTGTTGAAAATATGTTTTAAAGACTTGCCTAGAGTTAATGAAGAATGAAGTGTCCGTAGACTGTTAATTATTTTTGTTTTTCCTTACGTGAATGTTTAAAACTTAAATTCACGGAGCCTAGACAGGGTGAAGGCTGGCAAGACCGTTGGTATTCAAAGGAATCTTCCCCTTTGCCAGAAATGCTAAAGATTCTCTTTCAGGTAACTGGGGGCCTTAATTGAGAGAAAGCATCACCAGGATCTGTGGGGAACTCCAAATGAGTTTGAGACCATTATTGCTATGAACGGAGCTGAATATTCTAGAGGAAGAGCCTCTTTCACCTGTTCGGTTGAATAAAAAGCAAATTTTTGTACGTGGAGAATCCTCAACTGCAGGGTCAAGTGACAAGTCGTCCCAGAAACTCTAGGAATGGCACTTGGTTGTCTCGGGTTTGGCGTCGAAGTAAAAAAATAATAATCTGGAGAGCACCCAGAGGAATGAATGAATATAGCAGCCCAAGCACGTACAGCTGCAGGCATCGCTCTGTAAACCCAGTGCTGGCCGCGCTCTAGAGTGGTAGCGTAGCAAAGCAAGCACTTTCTGCACAGCGTCTTTCTGGAAGGTTTTCTGTGCTGCCCCGGGCGGCCTCTCATCTCTCTGGCATTCTTCAGGCTGCGTGTTGCTGCCTTATGTAGACTGGGATGGTGCCTAGACTCTGTGCTTTTATCTTCTCAAACCGCACTTAATGGCCTTGACGATCTTTCCAGTCTCACAGCTTGCGAATCATCTGTGTGCTGGAGATTCCAGACTGTGTCTCCAGCCTGGGTGTCCTTCCTGCACAGGAGACGCGTCGAGCTGGCTGCCCACCTAGCATTTCCATGGCACGCCGGACTCAGACTCAATCTGCCCAAAAGTAAACCGCCCCACCCCGCATCCACACCTGCCCTTGCTTCTGCAGTCTTCTCCATCCGTGCAAATAACCACCTCATCTTGCCATCTGCTCGGGTCAAAACCTTACCTCCTTTCTGCCTCCCCCCCATCTCCCTCAGTTCCTTAGCACACACCGCTGCTTGCAAAACATACTGAGTCTGAACACTTCTCCCCTCCTGATGCTACCACGCTGGTTCAGGCGGCCGCCATCTCCTGCCTAAACTATTGGTAGAGCCTCCTCTGTCGTTTCCCTTCTGTCCCCGACCGTCTGCGGTCTACTCTCAACCCAGTAGTCACATGGCCCTTCTATCATGTTAAGTCTGATCACTTCGCTCCTCTGTGCAAAACTCTCCATGGCATCTTATGGTGTTCAGAGTCTCCAGTTAGTGGCTTACAAGGCCTGGCACGAGCTGGCCTCCTGTTGCCGCTTTGAGGTCTTCTGATGACCTCACCTTTGCTCAGCTCTACCCATGACAGCCAATTTTTTTTTTTTTTGTTTTACAAATAGTTTATTGTCAAATTAGTTTCCACAAAGCACCCAGTGCTCGTCCCCACTAGTGCCCTCCTCCGTGCCCATCCCCCCTCCCCCCTACATCCATCAGTTCTCAGTTTTTGTCAGCATTCAGGAGTCTCTCATGGTTTGCCTCTCTCCCTTTCTTTCCGCCCTTCTTCTCCCCCTTGGTCCTCCGTTAAGTTCCTCCTAATCCTCCTATACGTGCAAACATATGATATTTGTCCTTCTCTGCCTGACTTATTTCCTCAGCATAACACCCTCAAGGTCCATCCATGTTGCTACACATGGCCAGATTTCATTCTTTCTCATTGCCGTGTAGTATTCCATGGTATAGATAAACCACATCTTCTTGATCCATTCGTCCGTTGATGGACACTTAGGCTCTTTCCGTGTTTTGGCTGTTGTTGAGAGTGCTGCTATGAACATTGGGGTACATGTGCTCCTATGCATCAGCACTCTTGTATCCCTTGGGTAAATTCCTAGCAGTGCTATTGCTGGGTCATAGGGGAGTTCTATTGTTAATTTTTTGAGGAACCTCCACACTGTTTTCCAGAGGGGCTGCACCAGTTTACATTCCCACCAACAGTGCAAGAGGGTGCCTGTTTCTCCACGTCCTATCTACGACAGCCAATTTGCCTATTTGGGTCGATTTGCCAATTTGGGGTAACACCCAAGTCAGGCTCCCCCTGTAGGCTGTTTCTGCATACTGCGGGTTCCTGTCTGAAATGCTCTTCTCTAGATGTTCACATTACTTATTCCCTAATTTTCTTTAATAAGTCTTTGATTAAATATTATCTTTTCAGCGAAACCTTTGCTGAAACCCTCTATGACCACGTGATGTAAAACTAATACCCCTTCTCTGATACTCCCTTGTCTTTTCCTGCTTTATTTTTGTCCATGGCACTTACCACTCTTCAGACAGATACTTTACTCGTTTCCTTATTCTTCCTTCCCTACCCCGTACTACAGTGTCAGCTCCGTGAGAGCAATGGATTTGGTTGGTCTTATTCACTGTTGTATCTCAGCACCCAGAATAACGAATGCTCGACTTCTAACAGGCATGCCACCAAACATTTGCTAAATGATAATCAAGCCCCCAGATTATCCGAAGTTTTGAATTTCCTTTTCATTTCGCACTGTTATTCTTAGTTATTGAATCCATTCAAAAGTAAATAGTCTTTTAATTTATTATAGAATGAAACTTTGCTACTTGTTGCCCAAAGTGAAATCTACTCTGAAGATCCCTGCAGATAAGCATCTACTTCAGCAGTTAGAAATGTGTGTGCGGAAACTCCTCTGTCAAGAAAAGGATAAAGATGTTCTGGCTATTGTAAAAAGAGTAAGTACCACTCTTGCCACATTTGGCATTTCTTGCACGAAGACAGTGCCGGTCACAGCTTCCCTGCTTTAGCTTGACGGGCTAGCGATGCGTTAACATGGTTCTATCATTGCTGGAGTAGCATTAGTAACGGACTGGGCTGATGTGCACTACAGCGTAAAGTTCCTTCTGAGGGGTGCTTAGACATTCTTTCTTTTTTTTTTTTTTTATAGTTTATTGTCAAGTTGGTTTCCATATAACACCCAGTGCTCATCCTCACAAGTGCCCTCCTCCATGCCCATCACCCCCCTTCCCCTCTCCCCCACTCCCCATCAGCCCTCAGTTTGTTCTCGGTATTCAAGAGTCTCTCCTGGTTTGTCTCCCTCCCTCTCCCCAATGATTTCCTCCCCTTCCCCTCCCCCATGGTCCTCTGTTAAGTTTCTCCTGTTCCACTTATAAGTGCAAACATGTGGTATCTATCCTTCTCTGCCTGACTTATCTCACTTAGCATAACACCCTCGAGTTCCATACATGTTGCTACACACGGCCAGATTTCATTCTTTCTCATTGCTGTGTAGTGTTCCATCATATAGATAAACCACATCTTCTTGATCCATTCATCAGTTGTGGACACTTAGGCTCTTTCCATGTTTTGGCTATTGTGGAGAGTGCTGCTATGAACATTGGGGTCCATGTGCCCCTGTGTATCAGCACTCCTGTATCCCTTGGGTAAATCCCTAGCAGTGCTATTCCTGGGTCCTAGGGGAGTTCTATTGTTAATTTTTTGAGGAACCTCCACACTGTTTTCCAGAGGGCTGCACCAGCTTACATTCCCACCAACAGTGTAGGAGGGGACACTTAGACATTCAACCTGTATTACCACTAATACAAGCACCATGAGAGAGAGCTTTTGACACATTTGAGTTGCTTAATAAATACTGTTCAACTAATAATGAATACTTTATCCACCAAACTTGATTTATAAGTGGTTATAATCCAGGAAATCTTTGTTGGTGAAATTGGGAAAGTCACACTCATAGAAAGTTAGCCCTGGAAGGGCCTTCAAGGTCTGTTTGATGTTTCAGAAGCTTGAGGCCTAGGGATAGTAACTGTCACGTGGCATCATCTTAGCAAGCAGCCGAGCCGGGGCTGGAATGTGGGTCTCTTACCCCGAGAGCATTCTTTCTTCAGGCATGTGACATCATGTCCTTATGGGTTTGTTGGTTTGTTTTGTTTTTAGCACGGGATCTTACATGGATTGTTTGCTCATGTTACAAAACTAAAACAGCCAAAATTTGGGTTGGTGAAGTCACTCCTGAAAATACTTTGTAGTCTTCTGAAACATTTTGCTGAACGTGTAACTAATATTTTTGTAATATTAAGTCAAATGGGGGCACCTGGGTGGCTCAGTCGGTTAAGTGTCTGACTTCAGCTCAGGTCATGATCTCGAGGTTTGTGGGTTCGAGCCCCACGTCGGGCTCTGTGCTGGCAGCTCAGAGCCTGGAGCCTATTTTGGATTCTGTGTTTCCCTCTCTCTCTGCCCCTCCCCCGCTCATGCTCTGTCTCTCTCTCTGTCTCAAGAATAAATAAACTATTAAAAAATGTTTTAAAAAGAGATTAAGTCAAATGAAAGTGGTTACTGTCACAAATCTGAGTGTGAACTTTAGGACACATAGTTTCTGAGCATTTATTTGTACTGAGAGGAATTAATTTATTAATGCCTTTTAACTTAGCATCGATGGTGAGGGAAAAAAAAAGAATCCTTTGATTTCTTTTCTTTTTTTTCTTAGATATCAATGCTAGATGCTACATGAGGAACTTTTTAATAAAGTGATTTGATAACTTAGTATTAATTAGTATATTCTTGTTTTACTGAAGTGCGAATTCCTCTTTTACCAACTAAACTAACCAGAAATACCCAGGGTCTGGAAACGCACCTAAATCTAAAAACATATAAATAGAGTATACATATATACACATATGTGTGTATGATATGTATTTGTTTCTACCAGACATTTCTGTCCTTACCATTTAATTACAGAAATTTAGGCAATGGAGTTCACTTTCACAATAATGAAGATAAGAGCATTAGTTGCTTTTTAAAAGAATTTATTAACTCAAAAGATAATATAAACTAGCCCCATGATAATGAATTATAAAATATAATTAATGGATTAGTAATTTACAAGACTAGAGCTTATTGTAAGTATATGTCACATGAGGAAGTCAATCAAGCCCATGAAAATTCTATAGTAAAATGCTTATCAAACGGAGGTCTTGTAATGGGAAGCACCGAGGAAGCTCACCCTACAAAACTTTGGGATAAAAATGGCCTGGCTTATGCTAGTCAGTTTTTTAAGATGGGAAGTAATTTTATTTAAAAGGAATCTTTCATGGCATGAATTACAATATTTTCCTGAATTTCTGCATAAAAATCCTCAAATAAATATTATGTGTGCAGTGGCTAGCTTGGGCATAAGTGTATATAAATCTACTTTTATCTGGACCATCAGAGTGAGAGGTACTGTTCTCCGTCAGTCAGAATGCTGGGTCAGATGGACCCCTGTTTGATTGAAATGATTTGTTTCAGACTAATGTGTTCTGAAAGAGAAATACTAAATTGGGAAATACTTTCAGGGCATAGTCTTTCTTAATGGTTAGAATGTCATAATGATCGAACATTTCAGCAGAAAGGAACTAGGATTTTAAGCCAAATGGGAGTTGGCTTCATGTATATTTAGCTAAACGTTCTTTTAAAAAATTCAAAAATTATCTTGTGTTTCTGAAGATTCAGAGAAGAGTGGCACTGAGGGTTATTGGAAGTTCGTTAATTTGTGTGTGTTTTGTGTCCAAGGTGTCCCTCTAGACTTGCCCTCCTTAAGGTTAAAATCGTTTACAAGTGACAGTGGAGCCTGGCGCTAGGAGGTTGGTTAAAAGCACAGTGTCAAATGGGGAAAGAACCTCAGAGGGTTTCTAATTCAGCCTTCCCATAGAGTGGAGAAGTCTCCTCTTTGAACCTCCTTCTGGAAAAGGATCCTTTTTGAGAACTGATCAGTTGGTTTAATTTAATCACTGCCAAATAATTTTCACAACTTTGCTTTTAGACCGTGTTGGAGCTGGACAGAATGGAAATGTCGATGGATGCGGTAAGCACAGGCTTTATGCTCAATCAGTATTTAAAAATTGGCAGAAACTCATCAGAGTGTTTCATAACTTCATTTTTAAACTTTAAACTTAGTTTCAGAAAAAGTTTTATGAAAAAGATTTGTTGGATCAAGAGAAAGAAAGAGAAGAACTCCTTCTTATGGAAATGGTACGTTGTTTGCACGTGTGCACACACCTACTTCTTTCTGACCGATGTTAGCTGGTTTCATTATGCACCCCAATAAGTAATTTCCTTCCATTTCAGACTGCTTTTCTCCTTCCTAAACGACTAAAAAAGAGTCCTGATTTTTTGAAATCTCTTTTGTGGACTAGAAGGAAAACTATGTTTGAAAACCTTTAAAAACAACTACTTTATTGAAGTATAATTGGTGTATAATTAACTGGATATATTTAAAGGGTACAGTTTGATGAAATCATCACCGCAGTCAAAATGCCAAACATTTCCATTCCCTCAGGAGTTTCCTCGTGCCCCTTTGTAATCCTCAGGTGCCCCAGAACCACTCACCTAGTTTCTATCTATAAATTAGCTAGCAACTCGAATTTATTTATTTATTTATTTATTTATTTATTTAAATATAGCTTATTGTCAAGTTGGTTTCCATATACTACCCAGTGCTCAGCCCAAGAAGTGCCCTCCGTGCCCATCACCCCTTTTCCCTTCTCCCCCACCCCATTATCAACTCTCAGTTTGTTCTCAGTATTTAAGAGTCTCTTGTGGTTTGTCTCCCTCCCTCTCCTTAACTATTTTTCTCCCTTTCTCCTCTCCTATGGTCCTCTGTTAAGTTTCTCCTGTTCCGCTTGTTAGTGAAAACATATGGTATCTGTCCTTCTTTGCCTGACTTATTTCACTTAGCATAATATCCTCGAATTCCATCCATGAGCAACTAGAATTTATCTAAGTTTGTTTATGTATAATATTTTCGGTTCATGCCTCTTTCTACCAGCATAATTGTTTTGACAGTCATCCACACTGTTGTAGGTATCAGTAGTTCATTCCTTTTATTTCTGAGTAGTATTCCGCATTACAGACATACCACAGATTGCTTATCCACCTCTTTTATTTTAAATTAGAAATCTTTTTTTAAAAAAATGTTTACTTTGAGAGAGAGAGAGCACATGAGCAGGGGAGGGGCAGAGGGAGAGAGAGAATCGCAAGCAGGCTCTGCTGATAGTACAGAGCCTGACTTGGGTCTTGATCTCACGAACCGTGAGATCGATGAACCGTGAGATCGTGACGTGAGCTGAAATTAAGTGTCGGATGCTTACCTGACTGAGCTACCCAGGTGCCCCGTGTTTATCCACCTCTCATGAGTACTTGGGTTACTTCTAGTTTGGGGATATTAGAAATAAAGTTGCTGTGATCATTTATGAAGAAGTCTTTGGGTGAGCATATGAAGAAGTCTTCAAACCTAGGAAATACCTAGGAATGGAATGACTGGATTGGATAGTAGGGCATGCTTAATTTAAAGACAAACAAAAGACAGGATGCCCGGGTGGCTCAGTCAGTTAAGCATCTGACTTCAGCTCAGGTCATGATCTTGCAGTTTGTGAGTTTGAACCCCACGTTGGGCTCTATGCTGACAGCCCATAGCCTGGAGCCTGCTTCAGATTCTGTGTCTCCCTGTCTCTCTGACTTTCCTGTCCTAGGACTCTATCTCTCTCTCTCTCTCTCAGCAATAAATAAATGTTCAAAAAATTTTTTAAATAAAAAAATAAAATGAATAAAAAAAAACAGCTTTACAAAGTTGCTGTACCATTTTACATGCCCATCAGCTGTGGTGGAGAGCTTCAGTTACCCCATATCCTCTCAGCTCGATAGGGTGGGTACGTAATCGTGCCTCATTGTGATTTCAAATTGTATATCCCTGATACCTAGTGATGTTGAACATCTTTCTGTTTGTTTATTGCCCATCCTTGTTTCTTATTTGATGAAGTCTGTTTTCAGATTTTTTAAGTTTGCTTATTCATTTTGAGAGCACACGCGCCCATGCAAGCAGGGAAGGGGCAAAGAGGGAGGGAGGGAGAATTCCAAGCAGGCTCTGCACTCTTGGCAGCAGAGCCGGATATGGAGCTTTTTATGGGGCTTGATCCTACGGCTGAGAGATCATGACCTGAGCTGAAACCAAAAGTCAGAAGCCCAACCAACTGAGCCACTCAGGCGCCCCTGTTTTCAGATATTTAAATGGATTGTTGTGGGCTTGAGATGCAAGAGTTCTTCATACACTCTGAATACAACTCCTTTGTCAGAAACACATTTTGTGAATATTTTCTTTTGAGTCTGTGGCTTATCTTTCACTTATTTAATGGTGTGTTTTGAAGGGCAGTTTTAAACTTTGATGAGCTTCCACTTACCCATGTTTTTCTCTTATTTTTTATGCTTGTTTGTTCCAAGAATCCATTGTCTTTCCCCAAATTACAAAGACTTTTTCCGTATGTTTTCTTCTAGAACTTTTAGTTTTAGGTTTTACAGTTAGGTCTGTTGTCCATTTCAATTAGTTTTGTATGTTTTTTCCCATCCGAATGTTAAATCCTAGCACCATTTGTCAGAAACTTCCCTTATTAAATTGCCTTAACATATTAAAAAAAATTGTCCATGTATGTATGTGTTTATTTCTTGACTCCCTATTCTGTTCCACTGACATGTTTATCTTTTTGACAATTCCAAACTATCACTGTGACATTATAGTAATTCTTGAAATAAGGTAGGTTAAGGTTTTGAACTTTGTTCTTTTTAAATTGCTTTGACTAGTTTAGGCCCTTTGCATTTTGCTATAAAGTTTAGAATCAGTTTATCCATTTACATAAAAAGCCTGCTGGAATTTTTGTTAGAATTCTGTTAATTAGGATTGATCTATGGATCAGTTTGGTTGATTGCTATCTTAATAATCAGTTTTCTAATCCATGAACATTGTATACCACTCCATTAATTTAATCTTTCTTCTGTGTAATTTTGGTAGTATTAAAGGAGGTCTTTTGTTAGATTCATTTCTGGGCATGTTATAGTTTTGGGCATTATTATAAATGGAATTGTAATTTTTAATCTCACTTTCTAGAATTTCGTTGCTGTCAATTACTGTTGATTTTTGTATATTCACCTTGTATTTGTTCTAGAGTTGTTTTTAGATTTAATAGGATTTTCTACATGAGCCATTGTATGCTCTTTAAGGACAGCCAGATTGCTTCTTCTTACTCAGTGTTTATGCCTTTTATTTTTTATGTCTGGTTGCAAGGTCTAGGACTTACAGTATAATGAAACACTTCCAATCAAATTAAAGTGATGGAAGCAGTCATCTTTGTCATTTTATGGATTCTAGGGGGGAAGTAGCTCAATCTTTCACCATTTGGTATGATGTTACCAAGAGGTTTGATGTGGGTGCCCTTTATCAAATTGTGGAAATTCCCTCCTATTCCTAGTCTGTTGAGGGTTTGTATGAATGATTATTGAATTTTGTGAAATGTTCTTCCTTCATATTTAGAAATGACATTTGTTTATTCTTCATCCTGTTAAACCACTGTATTCTTTATTTTTTATTATTTTTAATTAAAAAAATTTTTTAGATGTTTATTTTTAAGAGAGAGAAAGCATGACAGGGGAGGGGCAGAGAGAGGGGGTACAGAGGATCCAAAGTAGGCTCTGTGCTGATATGCATAGAGCCTGATGCGGGGCTTGAACTCATGAACCACGAGATCATGACCTGAGCTGAAGTCAGATGTTCAACCAACTGAGCCAACCAGGCACCCCAAATTACCTTGATTTTTTTAATGGTAAATTAATCTTGTATTTGGGGGATAAACTATACTTGATTATCCTTTTGTATATTGTTGGATTCTTGGCTAGTTTTTAAAGGGACTTTTGCATCTATATTCACAGTGAAATTAGTCTAAAATTTCCTTTTTTGTCATTTTTGGGACTTTTAAATTTGGTGTTAGAGTTGTGGGCCTTATAAAATAAGATGTGTAGTATTACCATTTCCTCTTAATTCCTCTTCCTCTGTTTTCTGATGGAGTTTCTATAAAATTGTTTTTATTTTTTCCTTGAGTGTTTGATAGAATTCACTAGTGAAACTATCAAAGCCCAATGTTTTCATTTTGGAAAGAATTTTGATAATTGATTCAACTACTAATAGCTATAAATCTGTTAAGATTTTTTATTTCTTCTTTTGTAAACTTGATAATTTGTTTCCCATAGTCAAATTCTGTCATCTAAGCTGTCAAATTTGTTCCCATAGAGTTGTTTATATTCTTATATTATTATTCGAATACATGTAGGATCCATGGTGATGACCTCTGTTTCATCCTCACGTTAGTGGTTGGTGTTTTGTCTCTCCTCTTTCTCTTCCTCTTTTCTTTTTAAAAAAAATTTTTTTTGGTAGTTTTATCTAGAGGTTACTATATACCTAACCCTTTAAAGTCTACTAATTGTTGGGGCGCCTGGGTGGCTTAGTCGGTTAAGCGTCTGACTTTCGCATAGGTCATGATCTCGCGGTTTGTGGGTTTGAGCCCCGCGTCGGGCTCTGTGCTGACTGCCAGCTCAGAGCCTGGAGCCTATTTCAGAGTCTGTATCTCCCTCTCTCTCTGACCCTCCCCTGCTCACGCTGTCTCTCTCTCTCTCCTAGGAAAAAAAAAAGTCTATTAATTGTTAATATTGTACCACTTCATTTAACAATGATACAGATCTCTCTACCCTTTCTTTATGTTATAATTGTTACATGAATTATATCTCTATTGGAAACCCCAGCAGTCAGTGTAATAATTTTTGCTTTAAGTTGTGATCTGTATCTTTGAAGAATTTAAGAGAGTAAACTCCAGTTTTTACTTTCTTATTTTTACAATTTCTAGTACTCTTCATTCATTGCTTAGCATCCGAACTTCCCTCTGTTATTTTTTCCCCTTTGGCCTGAAGAACTGTCTTTAGTTGTTCTTGGGGTGCAGGTATTTTGTGACATTTTTTCTTAGTTTTCTCTTATTTGAAATATGTTTCTCTTATCTGAAATATCTCTGCATCTGATAAAATATTAGCTCTCATTCAGATTATTATTCTGTATGTAATGTTGCTTTTCTTGGGTTACTTTGAAGATTTTTTTCCCTCTTTTATTTTTAGCAGTTTGCTTTTGATGTGTTTAGGCATGATTTCCTTCAAATTTATCTGTTTTGGATCTGCTCAGTTCCTGAATCTGTAAATGTGTATCATTTCCCAAATTGGGGAAGGTTTGAGCCATTATTTATTTAAGTATGTGTTCACTCTTCTACTTCTGGGTCTTCAGTTCCAGGTGTTAGACCTTTTGATATGGGCCCATTGGTCCATGAGGTTTTGTTCATTTTTTTTTTCCTTGAACTTTGTTATTCAAAGTGAATAACTTCTGTTGATGTGGCTTCAGTGTCACTGACTCTTTTCCTGTCCCCTGCATTTCAGCTGCTGAGCCCATCCAGTGTTTTTATTCCCAGGGCTGTATTCAGCTCTCAAATTCCCACTGACTTCTTTGTATTTTCTCTCTGTGGAGAATTGTTCTGTGAGATTACACACTTCAGTGGAAATCTGGAAAGCCAGTTGCTCAACTTCAGCAGCCTTCTGAACAAAGAGTGAAGTTCAGGATTGCCAGCAGTAGGAGGTGTAGAGCACAAGCAGGCCCTGAAAACTTTTAGAACCCAAATGACCTAAATCCAAGACAAAAATCAGGCAATAGAAATCCACAGATGATCCTGGTATTGGAGTTAGTGAACTTGAAGACAGCTGTGATTAATGTGATCCAGATAATAGAGGAAAAGGTGGAGGAAGTAGATAACATTACTTGTGAGCCCACTTAGTGACATTTATTTTTCAGTTTCACATGCTTTATTTGCAGTGTTAGAGTTTCCATTGGGTTCTTTTTTTATGTAGACCGATTCTAAGTAGAATTTTTTTAAATCTGTTGTCTATTTTCTCCCTGTTTTTCTTTACATGTACGATTGAAAAGAATGCACGTTCTCCAGTTGCCGAGTGTAGTGGTGTTTTTTTTGGCTTTTGGTTTTTGTTTGAATTTTAAGTAGGTTCCACACTCAGTGTGAGGCTTGAACTCACGACCCCGAGATCAAGAGTCACATGATCCTCCAACTGAGCCAGCCAGGCACCCTGGGTGTAGCAGTTGTGCTAAGTTTGCCCAGAACTTAGTATATTTATTGCTTTTCTTGCCTGCTTGTTCTTTTTTTGGGATAAACAATTTTGGTAACGTTTTATTTCTAGGTATGGAAGATGGTTATATGTGTTCACTTTGGGAAAATTCATTGAGCTGTATGCACTTGCTTTACATATGTTATACTTCAATAAAACATCTAAAAATATCTAAAACACCATTTCTTTTTTCTCTGAGTCTTTTAAAGAAAAATATTACTTTGCCACTTACCTGTCAGAAATGGAAATGACTGCTAATAACCAATATTTTGCCAATGAGCATTGGTAAATACCTTCTAGAATATAAAGGCTCATTATAACAATGATACTAATGATAGCTTGACAGACCTCCCAGGGCACAATTCTGTAGCTGTTAAAAGAACACAAATCCGAAAGAACCTTGACTTCTTCAGACAGTAATTTGGAAACAGAATTCTTTGCTAAGGCATTTTTGTGAACCGTATTTGTATCTGTAATGCTTAATTTCTCAGTAGAAGAGTTTTCAGGGACCGGGGTGGCTCAGTTGGTTAAGTGTCCAACTCCTGATTTCTGCTCAGGTCATGATCTCATGGTTCATGGGACTGAGCCCCACATCAGGGTCTGTGCTAAGCGTGGAGCCTGCTTGGGATTCTCTCTCTGCGTCTCTTCTGTCCTTCCCAACGTCTCTCTCTCAAATAAACTTTAAAAAAATAATAAAAGGAGAAGAGTTGTATAAATCTATTTACACTTAACCTTTCCTGCTAACATACTGGGTTTTTTTTTTTTTTAATGTTTTATTTATTTCTGAGAGAGAAATAGAGCACGAGCAGGGGAGGATCAGAGAGAGGGAGACACAAAATCTGAAACAGGCTCCAGGCTCCGAGCCGTCAGCACAGAGACCGACGTGGGGCTCGAACCCACAAACCGCGAGATCATGACCTGAGCTGAAGTAGGACGCTTAACCGACTGAGCCACCCAGGTGCCCCTCTAACATACTGTTTTAATAATAGGAACAGTTAGAGAAAGAGAAGCAACAGAGCAATGGGAGGCCCGTGAGTGAGAAAAGCTTTGAAAAGAAACGTGAGTAGTTTTCCGGTGTCTTAACCACTAAGTTACACGGTTAATGTTGCGTCCTGGTGTGCTGGCAGGCTGTGCTGAAGAGTTGATACAGAAAAAATTGCTTCACTTTCTTTCGCTTTCTTAAAAGTTGTTTTCAAAAATTGGCTGTTTCATGTGGTACCGATTTAGGAATTCATGAGTAAATGGTGGGAGCCAGTGTGGAGGTTCAGATCCTTCACCGGGAAACTTAAAGTCTGACGACAGCAGTGCTGCTGTGAACTGGGTCACTGAACAGCTAAGCCTGAAATATGTGATGTATAAATGAAGCATATTTGGGAGAGAGCGCTTCCTGCCAGTAGGACGCATATTCTCTGTGTTGTCTTGTGTGCTTATGGACATGAAGAGCTAGGAGGAGATTACAGCATTTAAAACAGAGTTTGTTTTAGGTAGAGACGCCAAGACACCAACATCCCTGCCCAAGAGCATCCCCATCTCTGTTCCTGGACCTTCTGGAACCAGCACCCCATCGACAAGTAAGAAATAGCTTCTTTTTTTTGGTCTTCTTTTTCCCTTTCATAAAATCGGTTATAGGGAAAGTCACTCCATTCGATGAGATGTATTATTCTAAAACACCTTTTACCTTTTATCATTCATTGTTTGGGGAGTTCTTGATGAGCAGTAGGGGTAAGAGATACTCCGGTTAGCTCAGACTGAGGAAAGGAGGCTGGACAAATCTGTGCCTAATGAAAGGGAGGGGGAATTGGCAAGGGGATGGCTTAGGGCAGCTTAGGATGAACCGAACAGCTGCGTTTTCCTTCTGCTTTTTACTCCAGGCAAAGAAATCAAGAAATCCAAACTGATCCGAAGCCAGTCTTTTAATAATCAAGCTTTTCATGCGAAATATGGCAACTTGGACAAGTGTGCTAGGTATGATATGTCAGCTATTCATGTTTTAACCCAATTTTTATTTTATGGTTACTTATTTTGGCTTATGTGAAATATTTATATTATATAAAATCAGGATTAATTTTGGGATTTTTACTGGTCAATAGATTATAAGTGTTCTTCTGTAAGGATTTTATATGAAAAAAAATTCTAAGTCTACCAATTTGAATAATAGGTATTTTGGCATTCTAGGAAGACTTACTGCCTTGGGGCTGTATCATAACACCATGGAATCCATATATTGTTTTATGAAGGAGATGGTGCTCTATTCTATGCACCACTCAACTTCTAAGTGGGTATGGACGTGTCCCATTTGCTAAGTGAATGTGGACATCCATTTGCTGTTGATATTGTTTCTTTCTATAAAGAAGCACTGGCATGTTTTTTTATGGCAGAATGATCACAACAGTTCTCTTTACGATAGATGAATGTCTAGTTTCCCCATTGGCCCCACACACTGGATGATCAACAGTTAAGATTAGGAGCGAGTCAGCGTAAATTCAGTGACCATGATTTTTAATATATGTTGTACACGTGTAGTATGTAAGAGCTGCATATCCTTAAATGAAAGTAACTTTAAGTAAACATAAATGTCTTTAAAAGTATTTGTCAAGAAAAATAGCATGGCATGGGAAAAATATGTTTTCCTTTTGTTAAAGATAGCTTAGTCTAGATTTTCAGCTACATTTTTGGACATTCTCAATAGATCGACCTGAAGTTCCTAATCAATAGCGTGATCTCAAGATGGACAATGAGATTATAACTGGAGATGAGTTACTTCCAGGGAAATTTTATCCATATTATCTGTTGTAGTTGAGCATCAAAAGAAAAACTGATTCTGCTGTAGCAAGTTTAAGGAAATGCTTTTAAGGTAAAGAAAGAGTAGTTGTTGTGAGGCACGGAATGTAAAGAATAAATGAGAAATAAAAGTAGCAACTGTGTTTTCATCAGAGTTAGAGGAGAGCATTAAACAGGATTTAAAAAGACCAAATGCCTAATGACTAGGGTGACAGAAGCATGTTCTTGTATTTTAAAACAAATCACCTTCTTTTCTAGCAAAAGTTCTACAGGAGGATATACCCCTTCCGTCTCAGGGTTAGGAAAGACTTCTGTGGTTTCATTAACTGGTAAGTAGAAATCTGAGCTATTTAAGAAAATTGCTAAATTTAAATTTAAAAAAAATTTTTTTTAGCATTTATTGTCAAGTGACAGACGGAGTGTGAGCGGGGGAGGGGCAGAGTGAGAGAGAGACACACAGAATCTGAAGCAGGCTCCAGGCTCTGAGCTGCCAGCACAGAGCCCGACATGGGGCTTGAACCCCTGAACCATAAGATCATGACCTGAGGCAAAGTCAGACGCTTAGCCGACTGAGCCACTCAGGCACCTCCCCCCTTTTTTAAAAATTTTTAAACATTTATTTACTGTTGAAGCATTGCTAAATTTAATGAATTACTGTTTTCTTTAAATGCCACTTCTAGATACAATGTTTTCCTTAAACTTGTATCTTTATCAAATGCCTAAATGATTAAACCTTTCCCTACAACTGAGAAAATACTGGACCTTGCCATTTATCTTTCACCATCAAGACCCAGAGCTCAATACTTTTGAAAGAGAGAAAGGACAGTAGTCTAGGAGGTTCTTCCATAGTCTGAGGACCTCCTGGGGCACAGACTAAAAGTTTTGCAGTGATTTTTAAAGAAGTTAAAAACAGTAGGGCTTCATGGTGAATCACATGTAGCCAAACATTTGCAGTATTACATATTTGAATATTTCTACCAGGGGTCAGCAGACTTTTTCTGTAAAGGGCCAGATAGTAAATATTCTAGGCTTTCTTGGCCAAATTGATTTCTGTCACAGTTACTCAACTCTACTGTTGAGCGGAAGTAGCCATAAACAGTAGATAATGGATAGGGATAGCCGTGTTCCAATAAAGTTCTATTTATAAAAACAGGCAGCAGTCACGATTTGGCTTACAGACATGTAGTTTGCTGACCGTTGGCTTATATAATAGAGCACAGAAAGATACAGTGAATAAGGGAAAATATATTGCTAAAAATTGCTAATGGCTGTTTGTGTATATTTTTAACTTTTTGCCTTAGAAGTCTTGGCTGAAAATTATTGGGCTGTGGTAAGTTTTTAGTGTAAAGAATAGCAGATCTACTCAAGAGGTCTGAAACTTTTAAAAGTTTGGTCCTGTGTCCCTTTCAGGTTGTGTTTTGAGTATTCTGTCTTCCTCTTACTATGTTCTTTTTATTCTTATGAAGAATATACACTCCCTGCCTGTAAACAGTGTATTTCACTTACCAGAGGAGAAAATAGATCCAATATTAGAGCACTGATATTCATATACTGTATATAGAGTGGTTCTACAGGGTAGACTATGAGTAGCATAAGAAACCTGAAAGAATTTGATAATAGAAAATTGTTGAACTAAAGTTATCAACGCTTCTTGAAGTGAGGGATGTATGTAAATAATAAAACTATTGTTTACTTTTATCTTTGCAAGTCAGCGAATTCTTTAGGAGATACTTAGGGAACAATAAGGGTTTGTGAACTTTTGTAATATAGGTGTCTTTAAGAATTGTAAATATATATGGGGGCGCCTAGGTGGCTTAGTTGGTTAAGCGCCCGACTTTCGCTTAGGTCATGATCTCGCGGTTCGTGGGTTCGAGCCCCGCGTCGGACTCTGTGCTGACTGCCAGCTCAGCCTGGAGCCTATCTCAGAGTCTGTGTCTCCCTCTCTCTGACCCTCCCCTTCTCTCTCTCTCTCTCTCTCTCTCTCTCTCTCTCTCTCTCTCTCTCCATTCTCTCTCTCCTAGAAATAAATAAAAATATTAAAAAAAAAAAAAAGAATTGTAAATATATATGGAAAGTCAGTTTGAATTAGCTTAGCTTGGAGCTGATGGGGCAGATGATTATTGATACCCAGAAGTGGTTCTTCAAACTTGTGTGGATCCCATCTAGCCTCTTAGACATGACTTCCAATGAGCATATTTATTCATGAACTTGTAACAGTTCTTGCCAAGCAGTTTCTTCACTTCAGTCAGTAAGAACATTGGTTCAAAACTAGTGTTTTTCAAGTTTTAATTATGTGCACTAACTTCAGTTTGTACTTTGCTAGTTCTTACATCACCTTGAGAATTGAGAGTGTGTATATGATTTGCAGATCCTAAAACTTAACATCCAAAGCCTTAATTAAAAGAATATATTTTATAAGGGCAAATAAACATCCAAAGCCTTAATTAAAAGAATATATTTTATAAGGGTAAATATTAAAATATTTGGAAAATATTCTGTCTTAAGGGTTCAGTATTATTTTGGGGGGAGAGAATATATTGGGTGAATGAAAGATCTTCTCGGTCATTACATATTATTGCTCAATGAAGTACAGACTGAGAAAAATGTCACTATACAATTACACATCTGTTCTACAAAGAGAAAAAGGGGACAAGATGTCTCTTACATAGAGAAGAGATTTAACTTACCTGTGGGACTTAAGACAGGCTTCCAGATGTTTCTAACGTTTGGGATAAAGCTTAAGGAATGCCGGGATCTCTAGCAGGCATAGAAGAGAATGGAATCACGCTCTGTTCAGAGTACCTGGCATAAAGACCATGTGTCAGTGTCTTGAGGAAGCAGCAGTGGCCGGTTTGGCAGGAGCACGGAATGAGTGTAAGAGGGCGGGGAAAATAAAACCGTGATTGCTTGCAAGGTCAAATGGAATGAGTTCTTTTTTACTTAATATGAACCCATCATTAATTGTTGGGTGACTTTTGCCTTTCATCAATTACAGTTCATCCAAGGCTATGTGGACATAGCAGACAGGGAGTTGGGGGGGAGGGGAGGACAGAGAATGCTAGTAAGGATTCCAGGAAACAAATTGCAACATATCCATTGTTAGCGGGTGTGAGAAAACACGGAACCCTTTTGAAAAACAGTTTGGTAACATTCATCAAGAATCCTAGGGGTTTTTTTTTTTATGTTTATTTTTGAGAGAGAGAGAGAGAGAGAGAGAGAGAGAGCGAGCGCGCACAAGCAGGGTAGGAGCAGAGAGAGAGAGAGAGGCACAAAATCCAAAGCAGGCTCCAGGCTCTGAGCTGTCAGCACAGAGCCAGATGCAGGGTTCAAACTCCCGAACTGTGAGATCATGACCTGAGCTGAAGTTGGATGCTCAACCGACTGAGCAACACAGATGCCCTAAGAATCCTAGTTTTAAAAAGTACTCTTTGAGGGGCATGTGAGTGACTCGGTCAGTTGAGCATCCGACTTCACCTCAGGTCATGCTCTCACGGTTCAGAAGTTCAAGCCCTGCATCAGGCTTCTTGCTGGCAGCGCAGAGCCTGCCACAGATCCTCTGTCTAGCTCTCAAAAATATGCATTTAAAAAAAAAACACTCTTTCACTCAAGCAGTCCCATTTCTAGTGCCCTGTCGTGAAACAGGTCATCACATAAAATGTGGTAAAATTTGTCATCATGTGTGCTGTTGGTATGATGTGCTGAAAATGGCCCTCTACCCTGGCGCCCTTCCTCAAGCCCACAACCCTAGTCTGATTGTAAGAAAAGCATCAGATAAATTCTAATAGGGGGCATCCTGCAAAATATTTGGCCAGTACCTCTCAAAACTGGTAGTGTCACCCAAAACAAGAAAAGGCTAAGAAACCATCACAGCTAAGGAAAGCCTGAGGTGAGCTGACAAGGGAATTTACGTAATGTTGGGTGCTGGATGGGATCCTGACACAGAAGAGACATTACGTAAAAACTAAGACTATCTGAACACACTGTAGATTTTGGTTTGTAATAATAATGTCTCATTACTGGCCTCCTTAACTGTAACAACTGTAGCTTACTAAAGTGTTAGAGGAAACCAAATGAGGGCGTAGATGAAAATTTTCTGTATTCTCAATTTTTCTGTAAATCTGAACTTTTAAAAACAAAAGTCTACTTAAAAAAATTACAGTAACTTCAAAAACATTTACGTTTTCAGGGCTAAGTTTAACAAAGTGTATATTATATGTACACTAAAAAAAAATCAAAACTTTGCTGAATGAAATTAAAGAAGACCTAAATAAATGGAGAGATACACTGTGTTTGTGGATGGGAAAACTGAATAGTGTTCATGATGCCCATTTCTTTTGAGTTGATCCAGAGATTTAATGCAATCCTGATCAGAATGCCACTGGCCTTTCTGTAGAAATCTCTACCCTAATTCTAACATCTAAAGTTAATGCACAGAACTGAGGAGAGCCAAAACCATTTTGAAAAAATGAAAAGTTTAGAAAACAAAATTTAGAGAGCTTAAACCACCTGATTTCAACCAGTCAGTAGTTAGGACCACGTGCCTGCCCTGACAGCTACCCTTCCACAAAGGCCCCAGGATAAGTCAGTGGTGATGGGATAGTAGTTAAAAAAAATTTTTTAATGTTCATTTATTTTTGAGAGAAAGAGAAAGAGACAGAGCATGAGCAGGGAAGGGGCAGAGGGAGAGGGAGACACAGGATCCGAAGCAGGCTCCAGGCTCTGAGCTGTCAGCACAGAGCCCGATGTGGGGCTTGAAGTCTTGAACTGTGAGATCATGACCTGAGCCGAAGTCATATGCTCAATCGACTGAGCCACCGAGGAGCCCCTATGGAATAGTATTTTAAAAAGCAGTGTTGGAACAACTGAGTATTTGTATTTCAAAAAACAAAACAGAAACCAAAAAAAACAACAACCCAAGCTGAACCTTATTCCTTAGCTCACACTATACATAGAATTATCTCAAAATGCATTATCAGCCTAAGCAGAAAAGCTGAAACTATGGCATTTTTGAAGAAAATACAGAAGGAAGTCTTTGTGATTCTGGGATAGACAAAGATTTCTCCAAACCATAAAAGAAAAAGTTAACATATCAGACTTTATCAAATTTAAAACTTCTGCTCGTTGAAACAGAGCATGAAAAAAAAAGAAAGGCATGGCATAGATTGGGAAAAATAATCATATTGCGTGTCCCCGACAAAGGACTTCTATCCAGGATACACAAAAGGAATCTTTAGAACTCATTAGGCAACTAGTTTTAAAATGGGGAAAATTGACTGCATACTTCACAGAAGACATGCAAATAAGTGCATGAAAAAAATGCGTAGCATCCATAATTGTTAGAGAAGAGCAACTTAAAAGCAAGGGAGGGAAGCCTAAATTGGGAGAACAAACTGATGTTTGCCCGGGGTGGGGGATGGGCAAGATGAGGGAAGGGGCGTGGGCGGTACAGGCTTCCGGTGAGTGAGTGAGCAAGGTACAGCATCAGGAATATCATCAGAGGTAGTAGTGTGCATGGTGACAGATGGCAGCTACCCTTGTAGGGATACAGCATAGCGCATAGAGGACTCACTGTGTTATACACCTGAAGCTAATTGTGTGTCCACGATACTTAAAAAAGTTTTAAAGATAGAATTCTACATATTCCTTAAAATGTTAAAAGAAAAAAAACCCTACTTGGTTACGTAGAAAAATAGTTAAGATTTACTAAGTCACAAAGTATGTTATAAAATAGAAGGCATAGTAGGTCTTTGCATAGGTGTGTGTATATGCGTAGGTGTGCGTATATGCATAGGTGTGTGCGTATATGTAGCCTGTGTAGGGAAAAGAGATGGAAGCAAATTACATTAGGATGGTTAAAGACTGTTGCTTCAGTTGCGAGAATTACGGTATTAAAGATGATTTTTATTTTCATACTGTGTTTGCATTCTCCACTTTTAAAAACTTTTATAGGTTTTTGTAATGAAAAAAATCTGTTCCTGCTAATGCTAGAAATCATTTCTTGATGCCAGACAGATGTTACTATATACTCACTTTTTAAAGATTTTGTAGACCAAAGGCCCAGACAAACACATTAAACCAAGAAAATGCTCATTTAAAAAAATGTTTCAAAAGTTCAGAATTTTAGGGGCGCCTGTGTGGCTCAGTCGGTTAAGTGTCCTACTTCGGCTCAGGTCATGATCTCATGGTTCGTGGGTTCGAGCCCCACGTCGGGCTCTGTGCTGAAAGCTCAGAGCTTGGAGCCTGATTCGGATTCTGTATCTCCTCTCTCTGCCCCTCCCCTGCTTGTGTTCTCTCTCTCTCTTTCCCTCTCTCAAAAATAAGTAAAAAGTGTTAAAAAATTTAAAAAACTTTAAAGTTCTGAATTTTTAAAAAAAGCAATGAGGGGTGAGAAATACAAGGAGACACCAGTACCCGGCCCCTAGAATATCTAAAATTAAAAAGACTCACAATATCAAGTGTGTGTGAGGGTATAAAGCAACTCTCCAGAACGCTATTCATTGCTGGTGGAAATGCAAAATGCTGCAACCACTTTAGGAGACAATTTGGTGGTTTCTTATGAAGTTAAATACACAGTTAGTATGTGATCCAGCAATTCCACTCCTAGGCTTTTACTTGGCAAGAAATTAAAACATCTATCCATTCATAGACCTGTACACATGTGTTCAGAGCAGCTTTCTTTGTAATAGTCAAAAAGCTGGGAAAAAAAGTCCAAATGTCTATCAGCAGGAGAATATATAATTTTGATCTATCCATACAACGGCCTGTCAGCGATAAAAAAGAGCAAAATGTTGATACACGCGGAGACCAGGATGAATCTCAAAATACTTGTGCTGAGTGAAAGAAGACAGAAATACCGTATGATTGAATTTATATAAAATTCTAGAAAATGCAAAGAAGACAGAAATACCATATGATTATATTTATATAAAATTCTAGAAAATGCAAACTAGTGACAGGAGACAGATTGCCGGGAGTGTGAGGCACGGGGACCAGAGCACAGGAGGTAGGGATCAAGAGGGGTTCACTCTTGATCGTGGTGACGGCTTCATCGCTGTGTGCGTAATGTCAAACCTCAATCTGTGCAGGTTATTGTCCGTAAACTATATCTTAATAAAAGTGGTTTCAAAAGAAAAAGAACCACTATCATTAACCCTAGGTTCACCTCTTTCTTAGCATATTCAGTATGTCTGACTGTACTTGAATTGCTTGCAGACGACTCCTTCCGCACCCGTAATGCTGGTAGCGCCGCAGCCACCTTTCCTCCCACCCCTGCCCTGCCTGGCACCTCCCGTGGGTCCAGTAACTCCGTTGATCCCAAGAGCAGTGGAAGTAAAGACCCACAGCCACGAAAGGCCACCTTGTAAGTAACCCGGTGCTGCGCCAAGTGTCCCATTCCAGTCTTTTCTCAGGCACTTTCATTCCCACTCACATACTTTCCAAACAATAGACGATGTCTATAATGAGGAAATGGTATAAATTCAAAGGACTTATTTTCGCATGGGCCTCTGTGGGGTCAGATGCTTTCTATGAGATGATTTATATATGGCCAAGACACTGGAGCTTTAGGGGATCGGCGAGACACTTTCAGTGGCTCCCATTAATATCTGAGATCCGGTTATTTTTCTGTGGAGTGTGTGCACTTAGGGAATTTATCTCTGAGAAGAACGAGGTGCAGCTGCATCCGTCTCAAGCAGCCAGCTTTATGTACACAGTATTTAATCACCCAGCGCTTCGAAAGTGGGTACAGCTAATGCCACTGAAGAAATATTACTGCGGCCCATAATCCGGAGTGGTGGGTCCAGCAAACTGGAGATTTCTACAGACTGTACTTGGGCTTCAGGGATGTGGTTATAAGGGGTCTCTGTTCTTTTCCTTTGTGATTCCTTTTTGTGTGCTATTTACATACATTGTTTGAATTGTTGAAGCCTTTGGTACTTTTATTTATTAAAAAAATTTTTTTCTTTTAATGTTTTATATATTTCTGAGAGAGAGAGAGAGAGAGAGACAGCATGAGCAGGGGAGGGTCAGAGAGAGAGGGAGATACAGAATCTGAAACAGGCTCCAGGCTCTGAGCCGTCAGCACAGAGCCTGACGCGAGGCTCGAACCCACGAATCGTGAGGTCATGACCTGAGCTGAAGTTGGATGCTCAACTGACTGAGCCACCCAGGTGCCCCGGTACTTTTAGTTTAAACATTTAGGAGAGTAGACTATACAAATCTCCATGGTGAGAGATCACATCGAGGTGGAACTGATTGCAGCCCAGATGCCCAAACGATCGTTACGGTGTTCTCATTCACATAGGACACCCGGACCTTCTGCTTAGAATGGACCTGAGACAGGACTCCGGTTTCCTTTTAAGCATATATCACTGAATTCATGAATATTCCCTAATGGAGTTTCTCAAATGCATCTTTTTTGCAGAAACTTCATGCTTTGGTCCCTCTTAGGAACTGAACTATATCTTAATTTAGTCTAAATTTAGTTGGCCACACGTATGTATACAAATATGATGTATTTAAAATTCATTTAAAACTTAGAAACAAATTTATTGAATGGAACTCCAGCAAAGAGTAGGATTATGTCATAGAAAAAAGCAATATTAAATAGAAAAGGTAATATTACAGATTTTTTAAAAGTTTATTTTCATTTATTTTTGAGAAAGAGAGAGCCGACAGGGAAAGGGCAGAAGACAGAATTCCAAGCAGGCTTTGCACTGTCAGCACACAGCCAGATGCGGGACTTGACCTTGAACTGTGAGATCATGACCCAAGCTGAAACCAGGAGTCAGACACTTAACTGACTGAGCCACCCAGGCGCCCCTAATATTACAGATTAGTAAGATTAATACAAAGGGTACTTTTATTTACAGACCATGTTCTTTGCCCAAGCAATTACCACTCAAATGATTATACTATGGAAATTCCGCTTAAGAGTCCTGAGGGAGAGGCAGGACAGGGCGGTGTCTATAGCGAGGCATGGAGCCGGAGCCCTGTGCCCGGGTCCCGGTGGCGGCTAGGCACTGTGTACAGTTCATTCCTGCTCTCTGGGCCTCATTGTGCCCATCTGGGAAATGACGGGGTGGGCTATGCTTCATCCCTTAAGGTGCCTTTCAGTTCTTGTGCCCTGATCCTTCCTATCAGCCTAGTCCCTCTTCCTCTCCAAAGCTTGCCTAGAATTCTTATATCGAAGAACATATTTAATAATCAGAATGTAATCCGTTCTCTTCCCAATGTAGTTTTCTAAATGTCATAGGCATTTTTTAAAGATCGCTAAAACTTAACATTTATACCAGCTCTCCTTTATTTCAGATTATTGTCTATGTTCTTTTATTGCTGAGCATGTTTTTCCTTTTCATAGACTGAATTTTCTCTTGCTCAATATATATATATAAAATTATACAATCAATTTATATAGTTGATGGTTAAAAAAAGTAAATGGGGTTCACTCTAAAAAATCCCATCATGTGTTTCTTCTTTTCTGAATGTCCTGAAGGAAGAGGAATGTTGGTATTACAGCTGCTTTTTTTTTTATTTAAAAATTTTTTAAAAAATGTTTATTCATTTTTGAGAGAGAGAGAGAGAGAGAGAGAGAACAAGTGGGGGAGGGGCAGAGAGAGAGAGGGAGACATAGAATCTGAAGCAGGCTCCTGGCTCAGAGCTGTCAGCTCAGAGCCTGATGCGGACATCAAACCCACCAACCATGAGTTCATGACCTGAGCCGAAGTTGGACACTTAACCGACTGAGCTGCCCAGGTGCCCCTTTAGCTGCTTTTTTAAGCGGGAGACAGGATATGGAGTCCATAACTGTATTTCCATGGAATTTGGTTCTCCTCTGCACTTTGTCATGAGTGTGCACACAGCGCCGCGTGACTGGAGTAGCTGATTGGCATCTAAAGTGGTCTTGTTTCTGTGAGGTATTACCCATAATTTGCGGCTGTGCCTCACCCGGATGAAAGTATCTTTTTTTCCCCTTAAAATAAGCTTATGGAGTGATTTCAGAAGGTGTTATTTATCTCAGTTTTCCTTCTCTAAACAATTCCATGCAATACATTCTCCAGCTTTTCAGTATCCTGGAAATGATATGTCTGGTGTTTCAGAGCATCAGTGTCTTAAAGGAGGTACAGGAATGCGTCGTATCGTATGTCCTTGAAAGCCGGACAGTTGGTATATTTGTGCCTGTGCTAATTTCCATTGTTGTCAGACCAAAAAATAAGTGTGAAAAGCTGTATGAATAGAATTGAATGCTTTGTTAGATGTGCATGGGATTTGGTAATTAAAGATAGTTCCAGGTAATCTTTAATGTGTAACTTCTTTTTCACTTAAACAGAATTCTCATATATTAGGTTTCTTTAAAGTAACCTATATTTCTTATTTACTTTGTAAGCACTAAACAGATACAATTTTTCATGTTTTGTTTTCTCTTTTCCTCTTCTCTCTTTCTCTCCTTCCCTCCTTTCTTTCTTGACAAAGAAAATCGAGAAAATCCAATCCTTAAATCATCTGCTTGATGAAGAAGGCAAAAGAAAGACAACTGGAGATGATGTGATTGATGGACAAAAGCTAAAGCAATGGCTGGGGTGTTGGGTTTTTTGTTTTGGTTTTTTGTGTTTTTTTTGTTTTTTTTTTTTGTTTTTTTGGTTTTTTTTTTCGGTTGATGAATGGAAAACAGACACATAATGACAGCTGATGTTGATAAACTTTCCATATTTGAAATTAGATTCCCTAGGTGGTATAGTATGTATTTCTTGAGTAATAATGTGGTTACAGAATTCCAATGTCATAGTGAAGTACAACGAAAAACAACTTGAGGTTTGCACTTTAAACACCGCTACAGAGAAGACCAGTCTGCGTTTATCTGTGCTGGAAACCATCTGTTTAATTGTCCTAGAGGCTTAGCATTCAGAAATTACATGGGAGTCCAAATCAGCTGAAATTGCTTTAGCTAATCACTTGAAGGGGCCTTGGGAGTCCGGAATGACACTGCATTTTCTCACAAGTCTCCAAGCCCAGTTGAAATCTCACACTGGCTAGGGTACAGCAGCTGTCCGCAATTGAGCAGCCCCATGATTATGGTGACAGCGTTGCTCCTGGACGTTCTGAAATTTCCATTTGGCATTGAAAATTCTACCAAGATTTCTGGTAACTTTAGGTATACCTACCTTAAAAATAATAGATTGATGATTTCATTTCCTAGAAGAATTTATTTTATAAATACTTTGTTTACACTTTAGATTGTACTTGTCACTTAATTTAAAATGATGAACCTAGTTTGAATCAGCTGTTATTCTAAGCTATCATGCTTAAGCTCTATCAACAGCATGCATTTGTACTGATGCTAACACTCCCATCAGAATTTGCCTGTCGAACATATACACTTCTTAATTTTAAAATGTCAGTTCTTGAGATAGACTGTATGAAGCTATTGTCAGCTTCTCTATTTCAAAATGCAATCAGCATCTAACTATATTGATATTAGAAAATATGTTTTTTTAAATATATTGATGTATGATAAAGATGATCTAATTTGTGAATGCATACGTGTGTGTGGTTACTTTTTATAATGTGAAATGATGAATAATGAATTGACTCAAAATAAAACATAGGTTAATGAGATACCTGTGTTTGTGAGAAAAGTTTCAAGTACTTATCAGCAGCTTTTTTTTTTTTTTTTAATTCTAACATTAAGGAGTAAAACTGTTCATTTTTAAAGAGTGGATGAGAAGCGCCCCGCATCAACTATGAATTACTCAGGGGACAGAAGCGCAGTGTGAGACTTCTCCAAGACACGTGTTTCCCCTTTTCCTTCTGTATGGCCTCTTCGGGGCTGTTTTTAGTGATTGTTAATATCTTTCATTTAAGGACAGTCAGGTAGATGGAAACGTTGAGCTCCTCCGCTTGTCAGGAGTTAAAAATCGGGTCGGTTTGAGCGACTGGGCAGTATTGACTCAGTGAATTCAGTATTCTTTGTGCATCTTGTATAACTGTTCTGACCATGCCCCCTGTTTGCATCTCTGACATGGAACCTAGGACATGATCCGGAGAGAATGTGTGCGGTGAGGGACGGCAAGCCAGCGTTCTTCCTGCACTTGGATTCACGCTCAGCATTGACTCTGTTGCCTTAAATAAAATGGAGAATTTCACTTTATTTGTTCCACAATCACTAATAATAATAACAGCATTTAGGAGTTTTATTTTCCATCATGCGTGCGGGAAAAGAGTAAAGTGTTTTGCCAGAGAAAAGTCACTACTGCGTGTAAAGTTCAAGGGTATGTGGAAGTCAGCTGTGGTCTTTTTATTTATTCATGTATTTATTTTTATTAAAAAAATTTTTTTAATGTTAATTTTTGAGAGAGAGAGAGTGAGCAGGGGAGGGGCAGAGAGAGGGGGAGACACAATCAAAAGCAGGCTCCAGTCTCTGAGCTGTCAACACAGAGCCCAACGTGGGGCTCGAACTCAGGACCACGAGATCATGACCTGAGTCGAAGTCGGATGCTTAACCAAACGAGCCACCCAGGCACCCCAGCTGCAGTTTTGTTCTAACTTACTAAACTATCAATTCAGACAGTTAATCAACATTACTTTCAGAAGTTTTCTTTCTTTTCCACAGAACATGATTTCTAAAACCCCACTGACCCATAGTTGCTAAAATTATACTTCCAAGGACAGATCTATAAGAAACAAAAACAAATAAGTAAAAACACAAATTGGTGACAGCTATGAATATTCACATACATCTCGATGTACAGCAGAAGCACAATTGATACTCTACATAAAAGTTCTCTGTAACCATCACATAGATCTTTTAATTTGTTCTAGAATATCTGGACCCGCGGTGATTCAGGCATGGCTGGCCTCTTTATCTTCTAAGTACAGACACTTGTACTCCTTAGGACAGGTTCTAAAACTTCATGGGTTAGCACGATAAGTGAAATAACAGACTCATAGAACTCTGTTTACCTGGCAGACATGGAGATTAGGCTGAAAAGGATTTCACTTCCTAGAGAGGACACAGAGTGTTTCTTCCATAACCTCATACACATTTAAAAATTATTTCCATTATTTGATTGCCTGAGTTCAGACATCTTCTTGTGGACAGATAGATCCATTTGCCCTGCGGTTTGTGGGCGTATGTGAAATACTCAAACTGAAGTAGAACAGACCCTTCAGTTTGAGTGGGAGTTTTGCAGTTAAGATAAAATGAACTGAATCAATTCAGTAATCTGTTCTCAGTTGTTACAGTGCGTGTGAATGTGTGTGTGTGTGTGTGTGTGTGTGTGTGTGTGTGTGTGTGTGTGCTGGAACAGTTTTTAAACCTGACAAATATAGTGAAGCCTTGTTACAATGTTCAGATTTCCCCCACCTCAGTTGAAACCTTGAAATTTTTTTGGTAAGATCTATTGTATTTTTCATTGGTCTGCATTTTTTTCACTGGACAGATTTTTGAAAAAGCTGAAACCTAGTGCCTTAGGATCTTCTTCAAGCATATGTGGATTATTTTTAAAAAAGTTTTTAAAATTTTTAATATTTTTTATTTATATCTGAGAGAGAGCGAGCGGGAGCAGGAGAGGGTTAGAGAGAGAGGGAGACAGAATCTGAAACAGGCTCCAGACTCTGAAGTAGCTGTCAGCACAGAGCCAGACGTGGGGCTCACACCCACAAACCGTGAGATCATGACCTGAGCCGAAGTTGGACGCCTAACTGACTGAGCCACCCAGGCGCCCTTAAAAAATGAAGTTTTTGGGGCGCCTGGGTGGCTTAGTCGGTTAAGCGTCCGACTTTTGCTTGGGTCATGATCTCGCGGTTCGTGGGTTCGAGCCCCACGTCGGGCTCTGTGCTGACTGCCAGCTCAGAGCCTGGAGCCTGTTTCAGCCTGTGACTCCCTCTCTCTCTGACCCTCCCCTGCTCACGCTGTCTCTCTCTCTCTCTCCTAGAAATAAATAAAAAAATATTAAAAAAAAAATGAAGTTTTTATGGAGTAGGGAATAGGGCCATTTTTATGGTTCTAAAGGTAATGTTTTAGATATAATTATGCTGTTACTGTTTTCATTGCATCTGGTGAGAGGAGGGGCAAGTTTGATCTGCATGTTATAAGGAGTCCTTCAATAATCATGAAGCTTTCAGTCACTGGGTTTGGCCATATTTATTTCAGAGGCTATTATGTTCTCATAGACTTTCTTTTCTAGGTGTCCGCTCTTAGAAGTGAGTAGTTTTAACTCTTTTATTTTCTCTTTCCACTGTTTTTCTATAAACACACTTGAGCAATGGAATACTAGCAAGTCAGTTAAGAAGATCAATTGGAGTTAGTGCTTTATTTTTGCCGTATTCTAGGTGCTAGAATTGCTTGGTCATTACCAAGTGTCAACCAGTGCTCTTGGAAGGAACACAAGAATGAAGTAATCTGCAGATTTTAATTTTTTTTAAATGTTTTATTTCTGAGAGAGCATGAGCAGGGGAGCGTCAGAGAGAGGAAGACACAGAATCAGAAACAGGCTCCAGGCTCTGAGCTGGCTGTCAGCACAGAGCCTCATGCGGGGCTCGAACCCACAAACTGTGAGATCATGACCTGAGCCGAAGTTGGCGCTTAACCGACTGAGTCACCCAGGCGCCCCAATCTGTAGATTTTACAATGATGAAAAGTCAGTCTTTAGACTGCTGTTTGATAGTATTTCCTTAAGTACAGTTCACGTTACTCTGGTTTACATTCATAGTCAAGATGACTAAACAATAAATTTTAGGTATATTTCAACACTGGATAGCAAACAGATGGAAATCCAACTAAGCTTTTAGTCAACACATTGAATACTCCGGATCTGCTAGGTCTATCCATGGTTCTCTGAATTCACTCCTAAAATATCTTCTTGTCTCTGCAACAGAAAATGATGAAGAAAATTTGGGGGGTATTTGCTGTTTTCCTTTTAACTTTGTGACAAAGCGCATGCTTATGTTCTGTTTAAGCAAAGTGCATAACAAAGGGGAATGCATGCTGCCTGTGTAGTTCTTGAACATCTAGATCAATGATTTGGATCAAAAGCAGAGAGTGAAATGGGCCAGGGGGTTAGGGGTCAACACAGGCAGGCTTCTGGCTGCCATGCCCCGCCACGTGGGGTGGCCTTGGGCAAGGGCTCTCCTTTCTTTGGGATGAGACTTTTTTTAATGTTTATTTTTATGTATTTTGAGAGAGAGAGCACGTGTGAGCAGGGGTAGGAAGCAGAGAGAGAGGAAGAGAGAGAATTCCACGCCAGTTCTGCACTGTCAGCGCAGAGCTCGACCCAGGGTTTGAATCCCCAAACTGTGAGATCACGACCTGAGCCAAAACCAAGAGCTGGACACTTAACCAACTGAGCCACCCCAGCGCTTCTCAGAGAGATTTTTGCCACGAGGGCAAAAGTGCCCTGGGACCTATGAATGTCACTGTGGCCCATGACCGTGTCTCTGTTCGGCATTTCTTCTCTGTGTGAAATGAAGGTACTGAACTAGATCTGTGGCTCAGTGAAGGCCTCCGTCAAGCGATCTGTGGAGCAGCGCAGGCTGCGCTGAGGCCGGTGCTGTGCTCAGGACTGACCGCAGCTGTTTTGTTCTCATGTTTGTCACCCAGAAATGATTCTATGACAGATT